ACTTGGTTCCCCCCTCATTTTGGTTCCCCCGGTGCGCCCCGCAAATGCGTCCCCCCGGCAACCGAACCCCGCATACTTGGTTCCCCCATCATTTTGGTTCCCCCCCCCCGGTCCGCCCCGCAAATGCGTCCCCCCGGCAACCGCACCCCGCATACTTGGTTCCCCCCTTATTTTGGTTCCCCCCCCCCCCCGGTGCGCCCCGCAAATGCGTCCTCCCGGCAACCGCTCCAAGTACACTTGGTTCCCCCCTCATTTTGGTTCCCCCCCCCCCGGTCCGCCCCGCAAATGCGTCCCCCCGGAAACCACACCCTGCACAATTGGTTCCCCCCTCATTTTGGTTCCCCCCCCACCCTTGGGGTCCCCCCAAGCCCCATGGACCCCCCCCCCCCCCTCCGGTGCCTCCCCCCCCATTTTGTTCCTGCCGCCGTCCTACCCGTGCCCGCAGCAGTTGCTCGCGCTCCGCCAGTGCCTCCCGCACCCGACGCTGCATCTCGGCCAGGTGGAGGCAGGCGCTGGGGGGGGGGAATTAATTGGGGGGGGGCAATTTGGGGGGGGTCTGGGGGCATTTGGGGGGCTGGGGGCGCATTTAGGGGGCAGAGGGGACTGGTTCTCACCTGTAGGACTCGGCGTCGAGCCCCCCCGGGGGCAGTTGCAGGGCCAGGATGCCTGGGGGAGTGCGGGGGGGGGCATGTCAGCACCCCCCAGACCGAAACCCCAAAATCGCTGCCGTTGACCCCAAAACCGCCGCCGTTGACCCCAAGGTGGCCGCTGGTGACGCCGGTAGGGCCACCGGGCGCCCCGCGGGCCACTGGGAGCAGAAGACGGGCATGAAGCTGCCGGTGGACGGCGGCCACGCTAAAATGCTAGGTCAGCCGCGGGTTGGGGCTCTGGGGGGGGGGCACCCCATAGGGTCACAACCCCCCCAAAACCCCCCCGGCCCCATAGAGACCCCCCCCAGCCCCACAGATCCCACCCCAAACCCTGTAGGTGCTCCCCCAAACCCTACAGGCACCTTCTCCAGATGTTCCCCACAACCTCCCAGCCCCACAAGTACCCCCCCCTTGGCCCCATACAGCCCCCCCCCGACCCAATATCCCCCCCCCGGCCCCATATGGCCCCCCCACCTTGCAGGCCGCCCGCCCTAACCTTAACCCTAACCTTAAATCTAACCCTAACCCTTAACACCCTTACAAAAAAGCCTCAAGTCCTAACCCCCAAAAAAAATAACTCGAAACCCCTACAGACATATCCCAAACTATTTACCACACTAAACCACTGAAGAAGACCTATGCCTAAAACCCCTAACCCAATAAATTAATATCAAATAAATTCAAATCCCAAGCCGACAAAATTAAGACTCTCAAAATCCCAAACTCAAAAAAATATGACTCTCAAAACCTAAACCCAAAAATTGAGGACGCTCCAAACACTAACACAAAAAATTAAGACACTCAAATCAGTAACCCAAAAAATTAAGATATTCAAAACCCAAACGCAAAAAAAATAAGATGCTCCAAACCCTAGCCCAAAAAATTAGGACACTCAAAACCTTAACCCTGGAGAACCTAACTTGAAAAAATAAATTAATAAATACATTTTAAAACGCTAACCCTAAATAACTGACCAAAAATAAATCCCTAATACCCTATCCCTAAAAAAAAACTATCAACACTACAAACCAAAAACTCTAAAACCCTAACACACTAACCCTGAAAACCTTAAAGTCTTAACCCCCAAATCCCTAAAATCCTAACCGTTAAAAATCCAAACCTAAACAACTTTAAAATCCTAAACATAAACCCTGAGAACGCTTACCCTGAAACTCAACCCTAGTGCCCTATCCCTGAAACCTTAAAACCATGAATCAATCTTTGGAAAATAACATAGACTCAGGAGAGGATCTCAGTAAAGTAGCATTTTTATTTGAGATTAAAATGGCGGGCGTCCCGCAAGCAGGAGGGCGCCTACTAATTCCATACACAGTTAATATGTTAAGGGAATCTGGAAACAACATAGATCCCACGGCCTGCTGCAGCTGAGCAAACCAAGATATCAGGGTAACTGTGAGAAGCTCCTAGGACAGTGTTCCCACATTGCCCAACTGAGGAATGTAGAAAATACTGTTAACAGCAGCTGGTTGGTGCCAAGGACAAGGTCTACGTGACTACTAATCACAAGGGGGTTGCTTTCTTGCAGGTGGGGTTGTTTTTCTTCTAGTTGTTTTTCTGAGTGCTTTGACCAATAATCTTGTGTGAAACACTATCCTCCTCTGTTTTAGTTCACTATAAAAGTTAGGCTATTCGGGCGATAAAATGAAGCATGATCTGACTCTGCTGGTGTCTGTCGTGCTTTCGGCTGTGCTTCCTGCAACAGTTTATATACTTTTTTTTTCCTTCCAAGGTCCAGGACCCTCCCCTTTTTTCCCATTAGCAATGCAATCCAGGTTCATACTCTATCTGGTGCTTCGCAGAAAATACACAGCTGCTGGCCTGTTACAAGTCACATTTCTTTTGAGGCTTTTACTCTTCGAGGTGGTAATGTTTCTTACACCGTGATTTCCACCTAATGGTGGTAAGGATTCTGGTAGTCTGCATTTTACAAGGTTGTCTGTTGTAATAAATGACTAAGTCCCAAATAGGATTACAATCAAAGTTTACAATTTATTAAATGAATAGAGGTAAGCAAACAGCACTGGGTGCGCCGGGAGTCTCTGCTCCACCGAGACGCACACAGGTTACATCAGGCGGCTGGTTTTTATGCTCCTAGGCTAATACATATTCATTACTACTTCTAGAAAAGGCAGGGTTATTATAATTAGTTCCTGTAATCCAAACCCGCCCACTGGCGCATGTATATCAGTCTCTGGTGGTCCCTCTGCAGGTCTCTCGTACTGAAGGCTCCTAGTCTTCCTCCCAGGCTTTCCCCTTGTCCTTCTGCTTTGTCCATCTTGGACGGATGTCAGAGACTTGCATAGTGCCCCATGCAATAGTCATAACAGTTAGCAGTTATTCTGAAACCCTTTGTTCTCTTATCCCCTATTGACATGAATTGCTGGACCATTCCTTTGCAAGATACAAGAACTATATACATTAACCTCTCTGTTTTTCTTAGACTTGTGGTTATACAAGAGTATGTAAGACAGAAGGTCACATTTCATCATACCATGCGGCCCTAGCATTGTTCCATATTGACACAAATCAGATGAACACATTTCACAATCCCCCATCTCCTTTTTCATGGTATTGGTTCGTGTTTTCCTTTCCAATCGAGTCAATACTTGCCAAATGGATATTAGTTTTGGATCTTCATTTGTTTTTATTATCATCAGGGAATGGGTTTTCTCTTTCCCTGGTTCTGGGTCAACAGGTACCGCAGATATTTTCATTCCTTGTATAACCGAGTGTATTAGTCCTGTAATACAAGGTATTAAACATGGAATTATTAACAATCCTCCACATATCCCCAATAAAACCATCCTTATTTTAGCAAACCAATCACCGCCCATAAAGCCCCCCCATAATCCTCCTAGATTGATTCCATTCCAAGTTCGAACTGGGACATATGCAATGTTCTTCATTTCTTTTACAAGTTCACTTACAGCTTTTCCTTCTGTTGTGGTTTAACTCAGCCAGCAGCTAAACACCACACAGCCGTTCACTCACCCTCCTCCCTCCCTCTCTGGGATGCGGGAGAGAAATAGGAAAGTAAAGCCCGTGAGTTGAGATAAAGACAGGTAAATAATAATAACAGTAATAATAAAGACAATAATGATGATAATAGTACTACTACTGCTCTGTATGAAAACAAGTGATGCACAATGCAATTGCTCACCACCTGCTGACCGATGCCCAGTCCCTCACATCGGGGGTTCAGTGATTCTTCCCTCCAGGTTTTTTTATTAAGACCTTGTCTCCTGGTTGTATTTTATGAATAGCAAATCCTAAAGGTGGTGTTTGAGCCATCATCCCAATTTCTCAGCTCTTGTAATCTCCTTCCAATAGTAATTATATATTTCTGGATGCTACGATCCTCAACTACATTGTTCCATAGAGGCATCCTTTGAGAATAAGGCATACCATATAACATTTCATAAGGCGATAATCAAGTCTCACTGTATGGTTTAGTTCTTATGTTTAAAAGTGCCAATGGTAAGCATTTTGTCCAGGGCATTTGTGTCTCCATCATTAACTTAGCCAATTGTTGTTTTATCATTTGATTCATTCTTTCTACTTTCCCTGAGCTTTGTGGGTGCTACAGAGTATGGTATTCCCACTGAATACCTACTGATTGACATCATAATTTTATTATTTTAGAAGTAAAGTGCGTGCCCTGATCAGAATCAATGTACTGGACATGCAGTGTCCTGGATAGCACACTACGTAACATATGCCCTATAATTCTGCAAAAATCCTAAGGGACCTGGAAACACAAATTAAACACACAAAGTAACATCATCATCCTACCCATAAACATGCTATAACACCTACTCACCTGAAGAAGAGCTGCATTAAATACAGGCACCTACTACTAGACTGCTTTACTGTGACAGATCCTACTAGTCACCACCTCAAAAAGCTGGGCTTCTACTTGGAAACACATCAGTCCATACTCTGCCCCGCCTAAAGAACCTCTTTAGCAACCTGTGCTAAATATCCCTCTATTAAGTGAATTCCAAGCACTTAAGACACAGGAGCTGGAACGTTCCTGCCCAACAATCAGCCGCGTGGCACAGGAAGGATGCCGCACGCTCCTAGAAACCAAACCTGAGCAGCTCCCCACCTCCTCCTGCCAACCACGCTCAGCACACACACTATTTACCGCCCAGAAAAACAAAAAGTTGGAACATACACACCCAAAAAAAACAACGGAGCTCCACAAATGCCAAAAGGACACGCACATACAGGTGGCCCCCTCGTCTGCCAGCATTGCCTGCAGCTGCAGAGTGGCCCAGAGTGGTGATGCCCCAAAAAAAAACTGAAGCAATGAAGAGACAGCAGAACAAAAGAGGTGGCTCGGGGTTTATTGGGAGATGACAGAGCGAACAAGGGGACACCCGGAGCCCCCCAGTTTTCTAGAGCTTGCGGTAAGCACCAACGGTGATGTCAAAGAGACGAGCGTTGTAGAGCTGGCCCCGCTTGTCCAGCAGGAAGAAAAAGGGGCGCCCCTTCACCTTCAGGGGGATCATGGCAGGCACCTCGGAGCGGTGGGCTCGGCACGAGACGTGGCGCAGGGGCACGGTGAAGGAGGGCCCGCGGCCCAGCCCCAGGGGCCCGTGGGTGCTGATGGCCACGGTCGCCCCCCCCCCGCAGCAGCGTCACCCGCCGCACGGCGCGCAGGGGGAAGACGCAGCCCGCCGCCACGATCAGCGAGCCTAGGGGAGGCCGGGGGGGTGGAGGGGGGTCAGTGCAGCCTCTCGAGGGCACCCCCCCAAAAAAAAACAAACTCCTAAGACCCCCAGCCAACCCCACGCTGCCCTGAGCAGAACCCCTGCACACCCCCCTTCCTTCCCCCTCCCCAGTCTGGGCCCACAGCCCCCCAAAAACCTTGTTCTGAGCCCCCCCCCAGCCCCACACCCCAGTTCTCCTGACCCCCGCCAACCCCCTTCTCCCTCCCTCACAACCCCCTTTTCCCTCCCCCCCAGCCCCACACCCCCCCTCCTCCTTCCCCCCGACCTCCTTCTCCCTCCCCCCCCACCCCCTTCTCCCTCCCCAGTCTGGGCCCACAGCCCCCCCACCTTGCTCTGAGCCGCCCCCCGGCCCCACAACCCCCTTCTCCCTCCCCCGTTCTTCTTCCCCCCACCCCCTTCTCCCTCCCTCTCCCCCCGTCCCTTCTCCCTCCCCTCCCTCCCCCCCTTGGGCCAAGACCCCTCCACTGCTCCCCCCCCGGGGGTCCAAGGCCCAGCCAGTACCGAGGGTGAGGCAGGAGGCGGTGAAACCCAGGCGCCACTTGTGGTCCCGGGGGCGGAGGGGGTCATCGGCACCGGGAGCAGAACCGGGAGCGGGAGCAGGAGCGGGCCGCAGCGCAGTGAAGGCAAAATGGGCCAAAGCGGCCCAAAAACAGCCCTGCCCCACGCAGAAAAGCCCCACCAGGCGGAAGAAGGGCCCGCGCTCGTGGCGGAAGAGGATGACGTCCCGGGGCACGGCCACCTCCAGCTCCAGAGCCGCCGCCGCTCTCGCCGCCGCCGCCGCCGCCATGCCCCCACCTTCCGGGGCGGCCGCAGCCAAAGTTCCGGCCACCAGGGTTGAAACGGATTTTTGTTTTCACAGAATTTCTAGGTTGGAAGAGACCTCAAGATCATCGAGTCCAACCTCTGACCTAACACTAACAGTCCCCACTAAACCATATCCCCGAGCTCCACATCTAAACGGCTTTTAAAGCCCTCCAGGGATGGTGACTCCACCACCTCCCTGGGCAGCCTGTTCCAGTGTCTAACAACCCTTTTGGTAAAGAAGTTCTTCCTAACATCCAACCTAAAACTCTTGGCACAGCCTAAAACCCCTGGCACAACTTTAGCCCCTTTCCCCTCGTCCTGTCACCAGGCACGTGGGAGAACAGACCAACCCCCACCTCGCTACAGCCTCCTTTAAGGTATCTGTAGAGAGCGATAAGGTCGCCCCTGAGCCTCCCCTTCTCCAGGCTGAACAAGCCCAGCTCCCTCAGCCGCTCCTCGTAGGACTTGTTCTCCAGGCCCCTCACCAGCTTCATTGCCCTTCTCTGGACCCACTCAAGCACCTCGATGTCCTTCTTGTAGCGAGGGGCCCAAAACTGAACACAGTACTCGAGGTGCGGCCTCACCAGAACTGAGTACAGGGGGACGATCACCTCCCTAGCCCTGCTGGTCACACTGTTTCTGATACAAGCCAGGATGCCGTTGGCCTTCTTGGCCACCTGAGCACACTGCTGGCTCATATTCAGCCGACTGTCCACCATCACTCCCAGGTCCTTCTCTGCCTGGCAGCTCTCCAACCATTCCTCTCCCAGCCTGTAGCTCTGCTTGGGGTTATTGCGCCCCAGGTGCAGGACCCGGCACTTGGCCTTGTTGAACTTCATACAGTTGGCCTCAGCCCATGGGTGCAGCCTATCCAGATCCTCCTGCAGAGCCTTCCTACCCTCGAGCAGATCGACGCCTAACTTGGTGTCATCTGTGAACTTACTGAGGGTGCACTCAATGCCCTCATCCAGATCATCGATGAAGATATTAAAGAGGACCGGCCCCAGCACTGAGCCTGGGGAACGCCTGGAGAATTTCATTTATTTACAAAAAGGAAGAGAAGGGAAGGGGTAAAACGCCGCCGCGACCAAAAACCAGCGGGAGGTGACGAGGGGGGGCGGTGCTCACTTGAGGAACGCCACCTCAGGGATTTTGCCTTCCAGCTGCCAAGAGAAGGAGACAGGGGCTCAGCGGGGATCCACGCGTGCCCCCCCTGCAAGGGGGGGACCACAGACACGTTCCCCCCACACACCCTGGGGGGGGTCCTAGCTCCCCAAGCCCACCTTCAGCTGCGTGAAGACCTGCCCAGCCCGGCCGTAGTCCCAGTCATTGTCCTGCAGGCACCTGGGGGTGGAAAATGGGGAGGGGGATTGAGGAAGGGTGAGGGGTGACTGCAAGGGGAGACGGGGAGGGGGAGGGGGGGGGGACACACACTCACTTCTGGGACCACTCAAGGTTCATGCCTGACTGCATGGAAAAGGCTGCCAGCATCTCCTGCTGCTCTGCGGAGAGCGTGGGGACGGGGCTGGAGGAAGGGGTGGGTGCCGGCATGACGAAGGCCTTGCGGATCTCCTCCGTGGTGGCGTTGCGAACAAAGAGCTCATCGTTGACGATGCAGAGGCTGAGAAGGAGGGAGGGGGGGGGAAATAAGCACAGGAAAGGGGGCCAGGGGCGTAGCAGCAACCCCTCTCTTCCCTCCCTCCTTACCCGGTGTTGCCAGCCGGCACAGCGATGAACATGCGGGTGAAGGCACGCACCGAGTCTCGGGATTTGCCGTCCACTGGGGAGAGCAAAGAAGAGGGTGGAGGTGGGCACGGGGGGGGGGGGGGGAAGCTTTACAGCAAGGAGGGGCCGCGGCCCAGCCTCACCTTCCTTGAAGATCCCATGGACGGCAAAGCACAGCAGCGTGTTCTGCAAGAGAGGGAAGAGAGTGAGGCAGAGCCCAGCTCGGGGGGGGGTGGGGGGGGCCGCGGACTCTCCTCCGCTCACCGTCTGGGCACAGACGTCCACCACAAAGGAGTTGACGTCGTGCTGGGTCTTGGGGAGCTCGTTGAGGAAGGCCACCACATTGAGGCGCGTGTGCTTGAGCAGCTTGAAGCGCATGGCTGGGGGGGCAAGAAGAAGAGCACTGAGCCCCCCCCCCCACACACACACACACCCCGCGTGGGCAGGGTGGGGGGCACAGCAAGGGGGGGGGGGCTTACTGGGGTCTTTCAGCTTCCTCACGTTCCTGCTGTCCTTGAAGTACTCGTTCAGGCTGTTCCTGCAGGGATGAGCAGCCATGAGGGACAGAATGACGAGGGGGGGGGCAGCTGCCCTGTCCCTCATCGTGGGGGGGGGGGGGGGCTCGGGGGAGTGGGGTGTACCTGGGGGGGTTTTGGTGCCCGAAGGGGATGCTGAGCGAGCAGCAGGCGCCGTCGTGGTAGGCGTCGAGCAGCCCCTGCCTGTCACTCGAGTCGTAGATGGAGTAGTACCTACGGGGAAGGACAGGGATAGACTGGGGGGGTGCCACAAACACACCACCACCACCCCCCTCCCACCTGCCTCAGGGCCCAGCCCATACTTACTGCTGTAAGAACCTCAGCACCAGCGCCTTCAGGTCGTCGGAGCCGAAGTAACTGCCCTGGAAAGAGCCCGGAGCAGCAGTCACCCCCCACGGGATAGTGGAGGGCGCCCCCCCCACCCCCCCAGGCCTAACCGGGGCTGCAGATATCCCCCCCACAGCCCTACCTTGCAGGGGGGCAGCGTCGTGGGTGCCTCCACGTCGAAGGCGATGGGCGGAGGAAGCTCGTGGCCATCCTAGGGGAGAGGCAGAGAAAGGGGTGAGGGGGGGGCTGCTCCCTCCTGCCCGCCCCAGCAGGACTGAGTGTGTCCCTGTCCCACCTCCCTCCTCAAAGCTCCAGCAGGGGTCACAGCCACCCACCCTCCCTCCCTCCTTTTCCCTCCTGCACTCACCAGGCGCAGCAGCTTCGGGAAGCGCTCTCTGACGGAGCTGCCGGGAGGGAGAACAGTCAGCATGGCGGCCGGGCTGCCCGCTGGGGCCAGGGGCAGCAGGAAAGGCCGCCCACCCTCCCCACCCCCCCCACCCAAAAATAAAATAAAATAAAAAATAAAAAAATCCGCTCCCAACTCCACCCTCCTCTCACCTGCCCTCCCCAGAGCCATGGGGCACGCGCTGGGACCGCCCCATGTGGCTGCCTCCCCTCCTCTCCCCCTTCTTGCTCCCCCTCTTTTTGGGGGCGCCATACAAGGGAGCTGCCCCTGTCCCCCAGAGGAGTTTTGGGCTGACAAGGCCCCCCCCTCAGGCCCCCCCCCCACCCCGAGCCAGCTCAGGACTTACCTGGCTCGTACTCACCTGAGTGCGGGTGCCCAGAGAGGAGGGGGAAAAGGGAGGGGAGACAAAATCCCACTGGTCGTGGCACGGCCCCGGGCACGAGCCGCCTGTTTACAGCTGGGGGGGGCGCTCAGCAGGGCGACCCCAATTCAGCAGAAGAGGATGAAGCGGAGGGGGGGGGGGGACAGACAGAGGGGCAGGCAGCCCTGGGCAGAGCCTCTTCTCCTTTGTGCCGCTCCCTCGGGGACCCATGAGCGTGCCAGGTGACGGGCACGGCCGCATCCTGAGCCCAGGACCCCCGCCAGCACCGGGGGCCAGCACCGGGGGCTACCTGGGGTGGGTGGTCCGCCCACAGAGGGCTGAGGGGCCTGCACCAGGCCCGGGACGGCCTCCCCGGCACCGGCCGCAGCGGGGGCGGCAGCGTTTGGCCACTGCACGGCTGTGCCTGTCTTAGGTTGTTCCTCCCGTGAGGAATCTTACCCGTCTCTGGCTAACCAGCCATCGTCGAGGGCCAAACGTGGGTGCGGGGGGCGGCGGCAGCTCCACCGGGGGAGGGGGGGAGGACAGGGGCAGCAAACGCCGTGCCCCGGGGCCACAGCCCACGGCCCCCCCCCCACCCCCGAAATCGTCCACGGCAAGGTGGAGGAGCATCGAGAGCCCCCGTCTGCACGGCAGAGGGGTGGTGGGAGCGGCAGGCAGGCAGCGGGGGGGCTCCTGAGAAGAGGCTGCGTGCCCCGGGGACAGGGAGGGGGATAGAGGGAGGAAGAGGAAGGAGAGAAGAAGGAAATCTCCGACCAGCTGAAACAACGTCTCTGTTTGCTGAAGCCCTTCACGGTCCCGCACCACGACCAGGGGCTGTGGGGAAGCTTTTGAGGAGGGGTCTGGGCACCGGCGAGCACAGGGAAAGGGGGGGGGGGGCGGCCTCTCTTCATCCTGCCGTCCTGCCCCCCGCCGAGCAGGGGCGGCCCACGGGCCCCTAGGGCCGCCCCAAGGCTAACACTGACCTGACGTAAGTAGCCTGGTCCCGGAAAGCGTCGCACAGGGGGTTGCCGTCCAGCCAAAGCTCTTCCAGCTTGAGCCCCTTCACTTTGTCCAGGTCCCGTTCCGATTTCAGCTGCAGCGCGGCAGGGAGAAGACGGAGGGGGGGGTGAGGGCGCGAAGAGCGGGGCGTGCAGAGGGCGAGGGGCAGCACCCACCTCGTTGCGAGAGAGGTCGAGGATTTTGAGGCCAGCGGCTTTCTGTGCCAACTCGGCCAGGTCGTCGAGGCGGTAGAGCTTGTTGCTGCTCAGGTTCAGGGATTGCAGCTGCAGGGATGGAGCCGAGCGTGAAGAGAAACCCCGCCGACAGCAGAGAAGGAGGAGAAGCCCCCCCCCGCCGTCCCCCGTCCTCACCTCGGGGATGTTTTCCTCGATGATGCGCAGCACAACCAGCATGCAGCTCCGCTGGTTCAGCACCACATCGATGCTCTGCGACACCAAGTCTGGAGCAGAGGAAAAAAGGAGACCCAAAGGGCGTAAAGGCGCCGCCTGCCACAGTCCCGAATTGCCCCCCAGGGGGGCGGCAGCACTCACCTGGATCGACACGGAGGCTCTTGAGGTCCAAAGCCCGCTGCGAGCCGTCGTACCTTTTACTCATACAGAGCTGCGACAGCACAAGGGAAGTGAGGGCAAGCAGGCGGCCCCCACCCCGTGCCCCTGCCCCAACCCAGCGCCCGCTCCGCTCACCTTCAGCTGCTCGATCTCCTCCGGCTTCAGCTCGTTCTGCAGGGACTGCGGCGGAGCCGACGAGTTGATAATGATCACCACCTAACGAAGGCAGAGCGGGCTAGGACGCACAGCTGCGTGGAACGCGAGCGGCCCCGCTCTGCCGAGGCACGCACCTTGTAGTTGTCCCTGTCGGTGATCTTGCGAGAGACCTGCTTGAGCGCGCTGGCGGTGGTGGCGTCCTCCACGTAGAACTGGGCTCGGTTGTGGTCGTAGTGGAACTGAGAAAGGAGGGTGGCGGGCTCAGGGCACGGCCGGCCCCGCTTCCACCCTGGGAGCTGCATGAAGCCACCCGGCCTGCCCAGGAGGGGAAGCGAAAGCAAAGCTGGACCCCCCCCAGCTCACTTCAACGGGAGTGAAGGGAACGCTGCAGAGGTTCTGGATGGAGCTCAGCAGCCACGTCTTGTCATACTTCTTCCCGTAGGGGATCTAGGAGGAAATTTGGGCAGCGTTACTGCGCCTTCAGGGTACGAGCGAGGTGCTTGAGGGGGCACGGGGAGCCGCCAACACCCCTGGGACAACACCCAGGACACAGCTGCCTTCTGCACCTGCCCCGGGGGGAAGAAGACGATAACGGCCAGAGCACAGCGCAGGAAGAGGGGAGCTGTCACCCCCAGCCTCAAAGCAGCTGCAGCCCCCCCCAAAAAAGGGTCGCTGATGGCCGTGACCCCCCGCCCACCCCCCTCTGTTCCCATTCCTCCTGCCCCGCACTCACGGTGATCTTGAACCAATTCCTCCGGCTAGCATCCTGGCTCCTCCCGCCGCCGCCACCGCCGCCGCCACCACTGCTCCGCTCCGGGGCGGGGAGGTCGCGCCGCACCGTGATGTGGATGTTGGCCGTGCGGTTGGGCCGGGGCCCGTAGGGCAAGCTGGAAAACGCCAAAGGGAGAGGCCAACGAGGGGGGGGGAAGCCGGCCCGGCCGACCCCAGCGGGCCCAAACGGGGCCGCCCCCTCCCCCCACAGCACTCACTATCGGTTCCGAGGCCCGTCGTGGGCCTCGCTCATGGGGACGTCGCCGTCGTCCTCGTCCAACCGGGCCCGCAGCCCGGAGCCGCCCCGGTTGCGGGAGCGGTGGTTCACCTCGCTGTACATCTTCCCCCGGAACGGGCCTCGGCCTTTCTTCCTGCGGCCCGGGAAGCCTCGGCCGCCGACGCGGTCATCGTGCTCTGCCCCCCCCCCCACACACACACACACAGAGGTCAGCACCGGGAGGCCCCGCGGGGGCCCGGTGACCGGCGGGGCCTGCAGCCGCCTCCCCCCACGCACCCCCCAGCCCCCAGCCAGGCCCTTCGGGGCCTCGAGTCCCGGTTCGCGGCTCCCCCCCGCCCCCGCTCACCGCTGTACCCCCCCTTGGCCTCCTCCGCCATCGCCGCCGCTCCCGGGACCGACCGCGGCCCCGCCGCCGCACGCCGTGACGTCACGCGCATGCGCGTTCACCCCGCCGCGCCCCCACCCACCACCCTCTAGCGCCCCCTAGCGACCCGGAGGACCGCGCGCGGCGGAGTCGCGGGTTCGAATCCAGACCCGGGAAGAAAGAAAAGGTGGGAAAAAAAAAAAAAAAAAAGAAAAAGGTCCCATCGATTTAATGCGGTCCCCGCTCCTCACGGGGGGGGGTCCCTGCGGCCCCGTGCAGACCGGAGGAGGTCACAGCCACCATGACCGGCCTCGGCGTAGGCTGGGGGAGCTGCAGAGAAAGGGAGGGGGGGGGTGGGGGCCGGGGCGCTGCCCCCCGGGGGGCGAGGGGGGCTCCGAGGTCCTCCACGGGCACCCTCAGGCCCCAGCGTGTCCCCTAAACCCCGTCCCCCGCTGTCCATGTGAGCCCCGCGGTCACAGCGTGGCCGTGTCTGTCTGTCCCGGCCCCCCAGGGACAAGGTTTTGGGGGGCTGGGGGGGAGGGGGGGGCCCGGCCGGGGGCTGCTCAGGCGAGGAAGACGACGAAGACGATGAAGAAGACGATGAGGATGAGGAAGATCTTGACCAGCAGCCAGCGGTTGGAGGTGACCGACTGGAAGTACTTGAGGATCTCCCCGTGTGCCGCCTCCACGTTCAGCTGCGCGTCCTCCACGCTGGCATCGATCCTGGGGGGACGGACAGACGGTCAAAGGGGGAAAGGGGGGGGACAGACACACAGACGAGACCCGGGGGGGGGCCGGGGGGGCACCTCTGGATCGTCTCCTCCTGCTCCTTCACCATGTGCGCCAGCTGCTGGAAGATGGAGCCCAGCTCCACGATGGTGGACTCGATGTTCTGCATCGTGTCCGCCCGGCTCTGGATGTAGGAATCCTGCAAGAGGGGGGGGGGTGACAGACACGCCGAGGGGGTGAGGTGACAGCGGGGTGGGGGCCTGGGGGGGCCTAAAAAAAAAAAAAGGGGTTTTGGCCCCAAAGCCCTCCCCAACCTGCTCGTCGATCAGCTGCAGCTGCTGGCTCGTCCGCGCATCCATCTCGATGGCGACGTCGGCGGTGCGCTGCGGCTCATCCTGGAGCATCGCCGAGCCCCCTGCGGGCGGCAGCGGGGCCTGAGAAAAAGGGAGACCCCCCACCAAAAAAAAAAAAAAAAAAAAGACACCCCCCCCACACCCCAAAAAAACAACAAAAAAAATCCCCAACGCTCACCCAAATTGCTGGCGGCCAGGGGCAAGGCGGAGACGGGGGCACGGGAGAAGTGCTCGCGGCGGCTCCGCTGCTGCTTCAGGTTCTGGAGGGGGGGCGGGGGACAAAAAATGGCATCGGGGCGAGGGGGGGGCACCCTGGGACACCCCCACAACCCCCCCAGGACCAACGCTCACCTCCGTCCGCACCTCCAGAACCGATTTGAAGTCGTTGGACATGGAGGCCAGCTTGGACTGGGAAGGAAGGAAGGGGGAAGATCACTGCGTGGGGCTTTTTTTCGGGGTGGGGGGGTGGCTTTTTTTTCTGGGGGGGGGCTTTTTTTGGGGTGTCCTCCCCCCCCCCCCTCCCTACCTGCAGGGACACCACGACAGTGTTGGAGTGCGTCTGGACGTGGCGCCCGCTCTGGCTGCCCCGCGCCCGCACCAGGTCCTGCAGCTGGGCGATCTGCTTGTTCAGGCTGCCGATATCCTACATGTGGGGGGGTCACGGGGCACGGTCAAAAATTATCCACACCCCCCCAAATATCACCCCCCCCCCCCCCCCACGGTACCTGCTTGATGATGTAGGTGAGCTCCTCGATCTCCACCGCCTTGTCGTCGAAGAGGGATTTCCTCTTGGCCACTGTCAGCGGGGGGGGGGACGACACACACAGAGGGGGGGGCTGTGCTCAGCATCCTGGCCCCCCCCCAATAAAAAAAAATTAAGCCCCCAACCCCCAAAAAAATACCACTCACAGATGGTCAGCTTCTCCAGCTTGGCGAAGGTGTTGCTGAGATCCTTCCCGATGCGCCTGGGGGGGTGGGGGGGTAAAAAAAAATTAAGGGGGGGGGCACAGGGCAGTTTGGGGAACATTTTGGGGTGTCCTGCCCTCCCCCCAAACAAAAAAAAAACATGAGGGGGGGGAACTCACTTGGCCATGAGGCTGAAGTCGCTGCGCTGCCGGGCGGCCCCCGCTGCCGCTCTGCTGGGCTGGAGCCCATTCTGCTGGGGAAGGCACGGGGGGGGCACTGAGCATCCCCCCAGTACCTCCCAGTCCCGCCCAGTACCTCCCAGTCCCCACCAGCAGCCTCCCAGCACCTCCCCAGCCCCCCCCACCAGTATTCCCAGCAGCTCCCAGTGCCCCTCCAGCCCCCCCACCAGTACTCCCAGTCCACCCCAGCACCCCCCCAGCACCTCCCAGTCCCCACCAGCACCTCCCAGTACCTCCCAGTCTCCACCAGTAGTCTCCCAGCACCCCCACCAGTACTCCCAGCACCCCCCAGCCCCTCCCCAGTACTCCCAGCAGCTCCCAGTGCCCCTCCAGCCCCCCCACCAGTACTCCCAGTCCACCCCAGCACCCCCCCAGCACCTCCCAGTCCCCACCAGCACCTCCCAGTACCTCCCAGTCTCCACCAGTAGTCTCCCAGCCTCCCCCCCAGTACTCCCAGCAGCTCCCAGTGCCCCACCAGCAGCCCCCCCCCCTCACCTGCCGGCCCTGCAGCGACTTGCAGGCGGACAGGAACTCCTGGGTCCTGTCGCGACACGACATGACGTCGGCGACCGGGGGGGGGAGGGGGGGCGGGGGCTGAGGGGGCACGGCCTGCGTCTGGGGGGGCCCCAGGTAAACGCCCTGCTCCGTGTTCCTCGAGCCGTGGCGGCGCCGCGCGTTCATCACCTGCGGCTGCGGGGGGGTCAGCACCGGCCCGGGACCCCCCCCCAGTCCCGGGCGGGACCCAAAATCCCCGGGATTCCACCCAAAAAGCGCCGGGAGAGCCCCAAAATCCTCCCCCCCCCCCCCCCCCTTCTTCTTCCCCCTCCCCCCTCCCATCCCTGAGGGGAGGGGGGGGGAGCGGGAAGGGGGGCAGGGGGCGGGGCCAAGCGGAAGCCCCGCCCCCTCCCGCGCTCACCGGGCCTCGCGCTCGGTTCGGCGCCGCTCGGCTCCGCGGCCCCCCGGGCGGCGCGCTGACGTCACTGCCACGTCTCGGCGCGGGCCACGCCCCCCTTTTGCCCAGTGACGTCACGCGGCGCGCCGCGGAGCCTCGACCCGCCCATCGGGGGGGGGGGGGGCAGCGCCCCCTAGCGGCGGGGAGGAGCCGTTGCAGGATCCCCTCCAAAACGCCCCAAAACCGCCGCAAAACGCCCCCAACACCCCCCAAAACGCCCCCAAACCCCTCCAAAGCTACCCCGAAACCTTCAGAGCCCCCCAAAACCCCGTCAAAGACCCCTCCGAGTCCCCCAAAGCCTCCTCTGAGACCCCCAACCCCCCCCAAACTCCCCCAAAGCCCCCTCCGAGCCCCCAAAGCCCCCCAAACATCCCTCTGAGCCCCTCAAAGACCCCTCAAACCCCCCAAAACCCCCAAACCTCCCCAACCCCTCCTCTGAGTACCCAACCCCCCCACACACCTCCCCAAAGCCCCCTCCAAGCCCCCCAAAACCTCCCCAATCCCCCGAGAGCCCCCTCTGAGCCCCCCAAAGGCCCCCAACCCTTCCCAAACTTCCCTCAAACTCCCCCAAAGCCCCCTCCGAGCCCCCAAACCTCCCCAACCCCCCCCAGAGCCCCCTAAAGTCCCCTTAGCACCCCCTAAAGCCCCCCCCCCCGGAGCCCTCCCCCACACAGCCCCATTCAGGGGCCTTGCTGGTGGTGAGGCCGCACCCCCCCTGCCCCCAAAACACATCTCAGTGCCCCCCAAAACGCCACAAATCCCCCCAAAAACAATGAGAGGGGAGCGGTGGGGGCGTCTTTATCTGCTGCACAGCAGCAAACCCGCATCCAGGGAGGGGTTGGGGGGGAAGCCCCAAGGAAAGGGGGGGGGCACAGTTCAGTTTGGGGTTAAGTTTTGGCGGGGGGGGGGTCACGGCCCGGAGCTTTTCCGTTTCTTGGCCCGTTTGGCCCGGCCCCGCTCGGGCTCTGACGTGGGGACGGTCTCCATCGAGTCCCAGAGCGCGTCGCCCTCCTCTTCCTCCTTCACCTCGGCCGGCGCCGCCGGGGCTTCCTGAGGGGGGAGTCGTGGGGGGGGGGGGACAAAAAAATGAATTTTCTGAGCAGGGAAATCCCAAAAGCAAAACCCCGAAAGGCTCTCACCTCCCAGTCCTGCTGGGTGCTGAGCAGCAGGCAGTTCAGGCGGGATTTTAGGTAGACCTGGGGGGGAGAAAACGGCTCGGAAATTTGGCCGGGGGGCGGGACACGGGACATGGGGGGGTGTCCCTTGTCACCTCGGGGGGGGTCTCACCTTGTGGCGCAGCCGCTTGTCGCCCAGGTCGTGGACGCGGAGGAAGCGGTCGAGGCCGCAGGAGGCCACGAGGGGGAGGGAGGGGTGGCACTGCAGCCCCCGCACGCTGCCCGCGAAGCCCTTCAGGCACTTCAGCACCCTCCCTGAGGGGGGGGAAAAACAATTGGGGAGGGGGTAAAAAAAAAGTTGGGGGGGGGTAAAAACAGTTTTTGGGGGGGTGAGAAAATCCCCGACGGTCCCAAAGCCCTGGTTATTAGCACGCCATCTACCTCCCATTTTAGTTCATCAACCATTAATTTCCCCTTTTTCCATTTTTTTTTAAATTAATTTTTTTCGTCACGACAGGACCTGCGATTTTTTGTTTTTGTTTTCTTTTTTTTTTTTTACTGATTTTGCCCCGTTTTTCTCAGCCTTTCTCCTAATTTCTGGGCAGCAGCACCACCCCCCTACCCCCTTAACCCCCTCCCCGCTGCTCTGCCGGCACAATCGCTTTCAAGGACATGAGACGAGTGAAATATTCTGCTGCAAAACCACATTTTCCTGCAAAATCACCACTTCTTTTTTTCTTCCTTTTTTCTTTTTTTTCCTTTTTCATCTTTTTTCTTTTTTCTTTCTCTCTCTGTTTTCTTTTTTTCTGATTTCTTTTCTCTTTTTTTTCTTTTTTTTCTGTTTTTCTTTTTTTTCTTTTTTCATTCTTTTTGTTTTATCTCCACCCCCCCCCAAAAAAAAAAAAGATGCCCAAAGCTCACCTTGGCGCAGGTCAATGACGGCCACCTCCCCACGGGCGCTGCCCACCACGACGGAGCTGTCGGGGGGGGGGGGGTAAAGGAGAGAAAAATTCAGCTCCTTCACCCTGGAGCCCTCCCCAAAACGCCCCCCCAGCCCCAGAATTCACTCACGTGGCTCCAGGCGCCAGGGAGAGGGCAGTGAGCGGGGACTCGCCGAAGGTGACCTCCAGCACCGGGCGCCGCTGCGGGGTGCTGGGGTCGTAGAGCCGCACCTGGGGACCCCCAGGAGGTGAGGGCACGGCTGGGACCCTCCCAAAAAGCCCCAAAAAAGCCCCAGCACCCCCAAAAAAAGCCCCAGGGTCCCACCTGGCGGTGCGCCGTGCACGTAACCACCTTGTCGGAGGCCGGCAGGAACTGGAGGTCGCGGTCCCAGACGGGGACGCGGAGGTCGAGCCAATCGTTCCTGACCTGCGGTGGGGAAAAATGGGGTGAGACAAAAAAAAATAATAAAAATAAAAATAATAAAAATAAAATTAAAAATAAAAAGGAGGGGGCTGCGGGGGGGGGCACCCACGTTTTTAGCACGGAAGACCGGCTCCTCCGGGCGCTGCAGGTCCCAAATTTTGAGGGCGTTCTCCTTGCCGCCGGTGGCCAGGCGGTGAGGCCGGGCCGGGTCCTGGCGCATGCGGCACAGCCCCGAGCCCGCCTGCAGCTCCAGCTGGGGGGGGGGGGGTCACAATCACGGGGGGGGGGTCACCATCATTGGGGGGGGTCACCGAGGCTCCCCCAGCCCCCAAACACTCACGTTCTCCGCCGCGTCATCGCGCCACGCCTTGAGCAGCCCCGACTCGACGCAGGTGATCAGGGTGCTGAGATAAGGCTCTTATCACCAAGGGGGGGTCGAGGAGGGGTTTGGGGATCACCCCCCTCTCCGTGCCCCCCTCCCCAGTACCTGCCGTGAGCCGCCAGCCCGCAGAAGGCGCCGTCACCACCGGGGCAGAGCCGGCTCTCGGTGAATTTCCCCTTCTCGGTGCTGAAAAGCTTCACCGAGCGGTCCAGGCACCCCACCAGGACCTGGGAGGGGGGGCACGGGGGGGGGGGGGGTCACGGGGGTGCCCAGACCCACCGAAGACCCCCCCCCCTCAAACCGTGCTCACCTCGGTCTCGGCCGGGTCCCCCCAGCACAGGGCGCAGACGCCCTCCCCGCGGCTCAACGCCCCCCCCCCGGTGTAGTTGGTGGCCTGCCGCTTCTGCAGGTTCACGCCTGGGGGGGGGGGAACAGGGGGGTTAAAGAGGGCCCTCCCGGTACCGGAGACCCCCCCCCACCCCCTCCGGTACCGGGGCCTCCCCCCCGACCCCCCCCCCGCACTCCCCAATCCTCCGGTACCGGAGAACCCCCCCCCAACCCCCCCAGTACCGGGGACGCCTCCCCAACCCCCCCGGTACCGGAGACCCCCCTCCAACCCCCCCCCGGTTCCTCTGCCCCATCCCGGAGACCTCCCGGTACCGGGGAACCCCCTCCCCGTCCCCCCCCCCCCCCACCTTTAAGCGCTCCGGTCTCGGCCCCCACCCACACGTGGCTCCACCGCGCGGGGGCCGCCATCTTGGTGAGGTCCGTCCACGCTCTCCGCTCCCCCCGGGGAACCGCTGCCCGCGCTCTTTCGTTCCGGGGGATTCAAGGTTCCCCCCCACGCACCGGACCCCTGAGCCCTGCGCACCGGCCGGAAGGGCAGCACTAAATACGCTCCCCCCTGAGCCGCGCAGAAACGTTCCGTCCCGTAGCAGGTCCCGGTAACACCGATGCCCCCCCCCGGTGCTCCCCCCAAACCCTTCCCCCTTCCCCCGTGGCCACCCCAAGGGGATGAAACCCCCGGGTGGAGGGTAGCAGGGGGATCAGCGACACCCCCAGCCCCCACCCCCACCCATTTAAACAGACTCAAAATTCAACAGATTTTGGTTATTTTTTTTGCTTAAAATTTATTTTTTTCAAAATTTCAAAATAATAAAATTTCTTCAGGGCTCCACCGTTGTCATCGTCTTCTTCGCAGGCTGCGGGGGGGCGGCCACATCCTGGAGTGGAGCTGGCGGGGGGGTGGGAGGAGGGGGGTGAGCAGGGTGGGGGTGTCCCCAAAATTCCCCCAAACCCCCCCAAAAACTGCCTCAGGGGGAACCACTCAGTCAGGGGTATCAGCCTGGGGCGGTATCGGCTCATCCTCGGCAGCAGGACCCCCCCCCCGCAAACATCCCGTGCCCCCATCACCCCCCCCAACCCCCCCAGAATCCCAACTCACCAGGACAGTCTTGGAGATCCTCGGGGGGGGGCCTGGAAAAGAAGGGGGGGTCAGGGGATCTCAGCACCCCCATGAGACCCCCCCCGGGGCTGTGACAGCCCCACGGTTTTTCAGGTGTTTGTAGGGTTTGTTTTTTTCAGGGGGGGTTCAAAGTGAGCTAGGTGGGCTCATCATTAAAACCGAGGGGGGGAGATGTCACAGCCCCACAGCGGCACCCCCAAACCACCCCAAACCACTCACCTCAGCCCCCGAGCTCCCTCCCTGCACCGCATTCGGGGCTCCTCAGCCCCCCGCTGTCACCCTGGGGGGGGACAAAAAGTCAGGGTCACCTCCCCCTGGCCCACAAACCCAGCGTTCCCCCCCCCACGCCCATCCCAGCAGGGATCAGAATCCGAATCCTCAACAGCATCCTTCAGCCGAACGAGATTCCTGAGAAATTCATCACGCCTGTGAGGGGGGGGGCCCTGCACCCCCCGGTGGGGTCCCCACATCCCCCAGCAGGGTCCCTGCACCCCCTCAGCCCCCTCACCTGCACAGCAGCACCGGGGCAGGTCAGGATCAGCTCCAGTTCTGCAAAAAACGCCCCCCCCGTTAGCTCAGCACCGCAGCCCGGGCCACCTCCAGCCCCCCAGCCCCGTGCCCCCCCCTCAGACCGTTCCCACAGAACTGAGCCGTCCTCCTCTCCGGCCGCCGGCGCCAGTGGGTTCGACCTTTGCAGGTTCTGGCGCCAGACGGGCAGTAAGACGTGTGAGGTTTTCCTCATCGGGGAGGAAAAATAGAATTAAATCATAAAAAAAACAGGTGCAGGCTCACCGTTGGCTCCAGGTGGAGGCCAGGAGGGAAGGAATCTGCCATCAGATTTATCAGATTCATGTCGTCCAGCTCAGCAGCGTCATCCCCGGGGTGTCCCCGCTGCAAAGAGCTCAGCCTGCAGGCAGGAAAGCAGCCGTGAGGCCAGCAGGAGGGACAATGTCCCCCTCAGCCCTCGGGGACAGGACCTCAGGGCACAAAAAGGATCAACAAAAGCCCGGTGAGGCACAGCTCATGCCCTGGACGCACCTGCAGTAGGAGATCCCGCTTCACAAGGCGGCAGAGGCGCTGCTGGAGTGGATAAATTAATGAATAGCAGCTCTTGCACGAGCCCACGCAGCCCCTTCCCTACAGGGCTCCTCCTGCCCCACAGTTCTCAGCTCCGATCTGGCATCAGGGTCCATCAGCCATATGCTTGTCCTGTGGCTCGTCACCGAACGGGGCGGAAGCAGCGATCCCTGCCTCCCACCCACACCCCAGGGGCACCCACGTGGCAGAGGAAACTCCCCCGGAGCAAGCTGGATGCACCCCTGGGCCTCGGGCTGCAGCCACGCTGCCTCTACCCTGCGAAGGGAAAAATCCCACGCCCCTACCCTTGAAAAATTTTTTACAAAGAGAAAACAAAGCTCACCTGAAAAGGGACCCTGTGCGCATGTGGCTGAGAAATCCCACACCTTAAAGAAAAATAAAAAGGCACACTGAGCCATGCTGCAAGCAGGACAGGGGTTGGACACCCACCACCCCCATCCGAGGGCACGTGAAGAACATTTAACGCCCACGGTGCAACAAAAACAGACGCCGGGGCAGCAGTGCCACTCAGAACCTTGTTTAGAGCTTCTCCACTTCAGCATCAGAAAGAGAGAGTTCAGGATTCTCATCTTTGCAGCACTTTGCCCCCCGCCACACAGAGCCGTGCGGCTGAGCAGCGAGCACACGTTTAATTCGTGGTCTTCATAACGCTGCAAAGCCTTCAGGCTCAGCATTGCAGCAGAGAAACTCACCTCTTCCACCAACGCCATCTGGACGGCCGAACCTTTAAAAGAAGATAAGAAAATTAACGATGTTAGAAGCAATTACGACAAACAAAAGGCCTTCAGCAACGAGCGGGGAGCGGTATGGCCTCCCCGCAGGGTAAGGAGCCAGGGCAGGGCGCGCCCGCTCTCCTCAGAGATGCCAAAAGCCTTCACACCGCGGTCAGCTCAGGTCTGTGAACGAGCTCATCACAGAGCGGGCCCCGCGCCGCGGCCCTGCCCCCGGTAACGGGGCCTACCCGAACAGGGCCACGAAATGGCGGCCCCCGGGCGGAGCTCTCGCTGCCGAGCGAGCCAGAAGCTGCCCGCGGCTGCAGGAATTAAGGACGCGGTATCAGAAACCCCCCAGCTCCTGAAAAAAACGCCCCGGGCCGCCCCAGCAGAAATAAAAGCAGAGCGCCAACCCAACCTCACCTCCCGCTCCGCCGCCGCGAACAAAATGGCCGCCGCCCCGCCGATCGCGCGCTTAAATAGGCCGCGGGGCATGCTGGGAGCGCGCGCCAAGAGAACGAGCCTGCGCACTGAGGGACCCCGGCTCCAAGAAAAGGGCGGGAAATGGGACAGCGCATGCGTACAGTGCTGAGGGGCAGCGGCGGTGGGAGGGGCCGCCTGGGCGGGACTCTGACCAATGAGGTGGGCGTTGCTAGGCTGGGCAGCGTCTGGGGAGGAGGAAGGGGTGGAGATATGCTAATGAGATGCGCAGGCAGCCGAAGGGGCCGCCGGGAGCGACACGCCGCTAAGATTTTGCGGCTTGTGACTCAAAAAAGCGCTAAAATTCCCCAAAAGAGAGTAGAATACGATAGTGGGGAGAAAAGGGAGAGGGAGAAAAAAGGGGTAGTAAAATTCCACCGTGACCTCGATATGTGGGGGGCGTGGTGGGTCCCGGGTGGGAGGGGAAAACAATAACCCCTGAGGGGGTAAATCTCTCTTAATGGGGGGTGGTTTTAAGAACAGATGAGAAGGGGGGGGGTTGAGGGGGGTGTGGCTGAGGGAGTGATGCCTATGGGATGGGGTATTTATGGCCTGTGTCGGGATGTTTGTCACGAGGGGTGAGTGCTGGTCGCGTCCTAATCAGCAGTCTTCAAATGTGGTTGTGTGTGGTCATCGGTTACCGGGGGTGCTCATGTCTCGTTTGACCCCTTCTGGTCGTTAAAATTTGTGCTCTCGCTGCCCGCGCCCCAGCCCGTGACAGCCCCGCCGCCCCCGCAGCGCACAAGCAACCGCCCTGCTTCACGCACGCACGGACACGCTCCTCTCCCGAAAATCCTCGCCTTTAATAACGAAGCTCGGCGCCCAGAAAGGACCCCGCGACCGGAGGGCTGCGGGTTTCCTGCCGCATGACTCCCCTCTGCCAGCACGGGGTGTAAAGGCTGCGTCCTTTTGCACCTCTGGCCTCATCAGCGCCTGCAGGGCTAATGAGGTGTCCGGGCCAACGCCACCGCTGCGCCTCCTCCCACCCTGCTTGTGGTGTGCCAGGCGCGCTGACCCCTTCCTTCAGCTCCGTCTCGGCTGTCCCCCTAGGATGGCTTCTGTCTCGGCGCTCCACTCAGGGTCCTGGTGGCGCAGCAGCGGGATGGGGGCTTCCCTCCGCTGCTGGATGAGCAGCCAGGCCAGCAGCAGGCACCAGAGGAACACGTTCACCCAGGCTGATGCCTGCGGGATGAGGCATGGGTGGAGATGCACAAGGTGTCCCCCCCCCCATTGATTTCTTGGCTTCCCGTGGCAGGGAGGGCTCCAGTGGCTGCCTGCCCCGTTGTACCTGCTCACCTGTGCACTGTAGAGGTTGCTGTAGAAGCGTGTTGGTCTGTAGGACACCCATGCCTTGCTCTCAGCCTCCTGACAGCTGCAGGGATCGGGAGCAGGCATGAGAAAAGGGGGGGGGGGGGGACACGCACAGGGGCAGCCCCAACAGCAGCCCCAGCCCGAGCCTGCAGGGGTTTCCCCAGGCAGGGCTGCCTGTACCTGGCCAGCTGCTTGGTGTGCACGATGGAGGCACAGAGCACGTCCATTCCTGCACGGAGGACACAGGCTGAGATGAGGAGGAAGAGGAGGATGACAGCAGCCACGACCAGGGTGAAGGTGAGGCACGCACGGCTCCTGCGGGAGCAGGGAGCAGGCGTCAGCGGGGCAGGGACACCGTCGGGTGCCCCGGCCCCACACCCCACTCACCGCTGAGGCTCGTCCGCACAGCAGCTGTAGAGCAGCACCGCGAAGCAGCACAGGGCCACCACAACAGAGACAGCTGAGACGAAGTAGCAGAGGGAGACATGGCTGAAGGACCTGGGCACCAGCGCGCTCCCATTCCAGCTCACGGCGCCGTAGAGGAGGCACTGGCCCCCAAACTCTCCCTACAGAGGGGAGGGTGTTGTTGGGGGGGGGGTGCCTCATGGTGACCCCCAGGGGCTGCAGGGACCCAGCAGCATGGAGCAGTGAGGAGGAGGAGGAAGGAAGGAAGCCAAAACCACCTGTTTGGTCGCATACTTGTGTGTCACACGGGGGGAACAGGATGGGCTGGGGGTGCTCAGCGTCCCCACACGTTCCAGCTTCCCCCCACACCCCTGCACTGCGACCACAAACAGCTCCCTACAGGACTGGGGAAGGGATGGAGCCCCCTCCCGGGCAGCACCGCAGCTTCCCAAGGGGCACCGAGCCCCCTCCCACCCCCCTGGTACCTGTGCCACGGTGAGAGCCGAAGCGCAGACGATGCCGCAGAGGAACACGGCCCCGTGGAGAGCCAGCCCCAGCAGCCACGGGACAGACACCGCCATCTTCCCAGCCCGCTCAGCCCTGCCTCCTCCGCCCCACCCCTGCTCTGCCGCCGGCATGGGGCCGGGCTTTGGCAGCTTCCCAGCCCCGTGGGGCTCCGGCAGCTCCCAGCCTGTTTGCGAGGCTTCGCCTAGGGGTGAAGGCAGAACGCCCACCCAGCCGTCTGCAGCCCGGCGATGGGGGGGTGAACGCACACGGGGGGCGGGCAACGGAGCAGCATCCGGCCACGGGACACCAAAGAGCACCCAATTCCACCCGAACAGGACGCTTCAGCAGCCCATCACCCCACCGAGGCCACAAATCCTCCAGGCTGAACAGCGCCTGCTGCTTTATTAACCGCCCGGCTGGCACCACAGCGACTGGCAGCACCCCGAGCACCCAGCCCCGGGCTGGTCTCAGAGGAGGAGATGGAGGGAATACTCGGCACGAGCCCAGCGCCGAGCCGGCCGGGCGGTGCGGCCGATCATGGGCAGCTTCTGGGCGTAGCGGGAGACGTGGCCCGGGCCATGGTGCTGGGGGAAATTGGTCTGGAAGAGGCGACCCCGGCAGCGCCGCCCCGCCTGGCGCCCCGCGATGACGAAGCTGAAGCGGGGGGCCCCGCGGGGGGCAAAACGGCATTTCTGAAAGACGTCGCGAGCCCCTGGCCGGTGGCCGGGCTGCCGTGCCATGCCACGGGCGCGGGGCAGGCTGGCGGAGCGGTGCAGCGCCGGCCGGGGGCTCTCCTCCTCGGGGGGGCTGGCGGCGGCGCTGGCCGTCAGCTGCGGCATTTTGCGGGCCCCCCCCTCGCCCCCGAAGGCCGGCGGCTCCTTCTCGGGGGTGCCGGGGGGTGGCAGTGGCGGCGGGGCGGGGGGCCGCAGCCCCGTGCCGAAGCGGGCAGCCAGGCTGTCACCGAAGAAGTCGTAGAGCTCGCGGTACATGTCGTGCAAAGAGAGGGCCGGCGGCGGGGGGGCTGCCGAGGGGCCACCACCGCCACTGCCCCCCCCGAGCTGCAGCAGGGGCCGGCCCAGACCCAAACCCGCCTCGGCTGGGGGCTCCGGCCTGGGGCTGTGTCGTGGGGAGCCCTCCGGCTGCTGGCCGGCCGCCTGCTGCGCCTTCATCTTCAGCAGGCGCTCCACAGCCACCTGGGGAGAGAGCGTGGGCAACGAGGGAATCCCAAGGAGGGGGTCCCCAAACGCCCCCCCCCAGGCCACTCACCAGGATGGCGCCGTAAACTTTGTGCCCGTCTGCCTTCACCTGGGCGTTGGAGACGGAGTAATCGTCCAGCACGGCCTGCAGGTTGGCCCAGTAGGTGGAGAGGTGCGGGTAGAGGACGCGCTCCACTGCCTGCAGGGACAAGGAGGGGGGGGATTGTTCTAGGGGCAGGGGGCATGGAGAGGCAGCGTTGTACCCCCCCCCACACACACACACCCCAAACCTCGCTCACCTTCCAGCCCAGGGCGTGCAGCCCCACCACGGCGCCGTAGTGGGAGCAGAGGGGGCGCACGGGGTCGGCCAGCACCTTCTGGAGGGAGAGGAGAATCTGGTGGTAGAGGCCGCTCACCAGATCGCCGTGGGTCCTGCGGGCGACAAGGGAGGACCCCGCTCCAGTCCCAAAGTCGCCCCTGGGCACAGCGCCAGCCCCCTGCCCTCCACCCCAAAAAAAAAAAAGCAAAAAACAAAAAACAGAGGAGCTCCCCCCTCACCAAAAAATGCGGCTGAGCAGCATGGCAGCGTAGTCACGCAGCGTCCAGTGGTCGTTGAGGGGGTTGATGGAGGCGGCCAGGGGCTCCAGGGCGCAGTACATGACGCTGCTGATGAGGCTGCGGACGTAGGAGCCCAGGCAGAGGTAGGGGTTCTGGATCAGGCTGCGGGCGATGTGCAGCAGCCGGTTCAGCTGCTCCAGGTCGTGGCTCACCGATTTCACCTGTTGGGGGGGAACAGGGGGACGGGGGGGACACGCGGGGGGCTCAGCGTGCGGCTGCGCCCCCCCCTCCCCAAAAGAAGAACCCCAAGGCACTCACCCCGCTGACCACGTAGACGAAGTAAGGCAGGAGGGCAGCAATCTTGGAGTTGCTCTGGAGGTCCTGCAGGGCCACCTGCAAGGACGCCGAGGGGTGAGCCCCGCTCTGGAGACCCCCTATCCCCCCTCCCCCCCCCCCCCCCCCCAAAAAAAAAGCTCACCTTCATCAGCTGGGGGTCGTCACCCAGCACGGCCCTCGTGACGTGCTGGTAGTATTTGAGCAAGTCGTCGGTCAGCGTGGAGACGGCGCTGGGCACTGCCGGGGAACGGTGTTACAGGGTGGGGGGGGGCTTTTTGCCCCTCCTGGTGCCGTGGGGGGGCCACGAGCTGCCCCCCACCTCCTTACCAGCTCCCTGTGGCTCCAGGTTGCCTTTGCCATCCAGGTAGGAGACGTGCACTGCAAGGGAGCATGGCGGTGGCTCTGAGTGCTCTGGGGGGGGTCTCAGTTTGGCAAGGGAGGGTACCGGGGCAGGGGGGGCACCGGGGTGGGTCCTGACCTCGCACAGCCGTCTCGGCGCAGCCCTTGGGGATGTTGGTGGCCAGGGCCAGCTCCACCAGGTTGACCTCGCGGTCCTCCTGGAAGTACAGCTCGCCCTCCTTGATGGCACGGAAAGGCAGCGCGTCCTGGGAGCCATAACCGCACACGGCCTGCGGGAACACGACATTCCCCCCACACACACACACAGACGGTAACGGGTCCGGTAACGGGTCCGGTAACGGGAACCCCCCCCCCCCCAACCCTATAGGGGACCCTCAGCCCCTGCACCTCCACGTTGCTCCAGCGCAGCGCCCGGTTGAAATCCTCCACGGTCAGCTTGCGGCGCCTCGTGTGCTTCATGAACTGGGAGCTGTTCTGCTGGGAACCGGGAGCGCGTCGGTTACCGGCTCCGGTAACGGCACCGGTAACAACACCGGGTCCGGTAGCAAGGAAAAGGGCCCGGGCGGACCTGCGTGGCCTCCCGCAGCCGGTAGCAGACGTCCTCGGCCAGCAGCGCCGCCACCTCGTCGCTGAGCTCCACGCCCGCGCTCTCCGCCATCAGCCGCACCGAGTCCCGGGGCAGCTCCACGAAGCGCCGCTCTTCCCGCTCCGCCATGGCGCGCCGGCGCGCCCGGCCCGCCCACCGTGGGCGGAGCTATGCAAATAGAGAGCGTGGAGGCGGGGGAGAGCGAAGGGCGGGCAGCCGAGGGAGAGGCGGGAGGAGGGTGAGCCAATGGGGGCGCGGTATGCAAATAGCGATGGAGGGTGAGGAAAGAAGAGGGGTTATGGTAATGAGGGGGCGTGCGCTGCTCGCGGGGGCTGCCGGGAGCGCCGCCACCAGGAAAACGGCGCTCGGCGAGGCGGAGAGGGGGGGGGAAAGCGGGGAAGAGAGGCGCTGAGACGCGGTGCAAAGGGCGGAGAACACGGGGGGGGCAAGGGGGGAACACGGGGCCGGTGGCCTCGCCGTGACTGCGGTAGTAGGGAGAGGCGATAGGGGCGTAACGGGGAAAAGCGCCCCGTTTCGTCTTCGGTGTCCACCATGTTAACGTGCTTGGATTAAAGTATTGCATTATTAAAGGTCAGTAAAACATCCATTATTGACAATAAATTATATTAATATCAATATATTAGTTATTGATGTTCAAATATTAATTAAGCTCCCCGTTACGCATCCTCACTTCAACGCCAGCACTGCTCCAACGCGGTCCTTTATTGTAAAAAGCATAAGAAAATAAGTCATCAATTCCATAAATTCCCTCCCCCCACTCCCCGCTGCCCCCCTCAGCTCTGGGGGGCTGCACCCGGCCCCCAGCCCAGGCGGCGCCGCAGGGCAGGGGGCAGGAAAGCCTGCAGGAAATGGAAGAAGTCCCTGAAGAGCGGCCCCGGGGCCGGGCTGGGGGTGAGGCGAAGCAGCACCCGCGGCTCTCGCCGCCCCCCTCCCGCCAGCCGGGCGCTGGCCTCGAAGCGCAGCAGCGGCTCTGGCGGCCGGGCGGCTCCCTCGTGCTGCACGATGGCCTCTGACACTTTCTGCTCCAGCTCCAGCGAGTCCCCCCCTTCCTCGGGCTCCTCGGGGCTGGCCCCGTGCAGGAGCTGCCGGCGCAGGCGGCGGCGGCCCGTCCACACATGGTGCCAGACGGTACAGCTCCAGCTCGCCACCACCTCCTCCTCCTCCTCATCCTCCTCTTCCTCCTGCTCAGGGCCATTCACCCGCGGCCTCTTGGCACGGGGCGGCGCAGCACCGTCCGTCCCATCAGGCTGGGGCCGCTTGGAGGCTGTGGGTGGCTGCAAAGGTTCCTCCTCCACTCCTGCGGTGTCACCTGGTGGCTCCTTACCCCCTACAGGGTCCTGGGGAAGGCTTTGCCCTGCTCTTGGGGCTCCCAGCTGCTTGGGGGGCTTCCCTGGGGTGCAGCTGCAGCGGAGGACGTCGCGCAGCACGAAGGCGATGCCGGCGCAGATCTCCTTGAAGCCTCCTCCAGGCTCCTCGGGGCACCAGGGGGCAGGCACGGGGATGGAGATGAGGAAAGAAGCGGCACCCGCCCCCGGTTCCACGGCGCCAGGCTGGAAAAGCCGCGCCAGGCCCCAGCCCCGGCCCTTGGTGGACTTGCAGCGGTACTGCAGGCTGCGGCAGTATTTGGCGGCGGCGCGGCAGCAGTGCCCCAAGCGCGCCGCTGTCTTCTCGGTGACGTTTGCCGCCACGTTGTGGCTCAGCTCGAAAGGGTCCTGCAGGTTGAGGGATCCCTGCTTGAAAAGCTCGCCGGCCTCCGGCAGCGGCAGCGCCCGGCCCTCCCGCAGCGACAGCACTTGGCCCGAGAAGTCGAAGTCCCCGAAAACGCGGAAGAATTCGGCCAGCAGCGAGCCTGGGGGAGAAAAAGCAGCGAGGGCAGTGTTGGGGGCCTCAATATTGGGGTCCTCAGCCCCACCGCCTTCCCCCGACCCCAAAAGCTCACTGGGGCTCTCGCTGTTGGCACTGGGCTCCAGCAACGCCGCGTCCCGGGGAAAGCTGCAGTCCCAGCCAGCCACCACGACGCGGTCCTCATCCCCTAAAAGAAAGAAAATCCTTAAAAAATAAACAAAACAAAAAGCCCTGCTGGACAGACGGACGGACAGACGGACGGAGGGGCCCTACCTGCCAGCTCCCGCAGCTGGGCGACCGCGGGCAGCACCGGGGGGCTGCGCGTCTGCAGGAAGAACAGCACCAGCAGCGTCAGCGCGTAGTTGGTGAGGAGGGGGCCGCCCCCGGCGGGGTTTCCTGAGGTGGGGGGGTACAGCATCAGAGAGGCCCCGCGCACCCCCCAAGTGCCAAACTCTGCGCAGAACCCCCCGGCCACACTCACCTGCCAAACCTTGCTGCTTGGCCCACAGCCTCACGGCGTAGCCCAGCGGCCGCACGCGCTCGTCCGCCTCGCCGCAGAGCCGCAGGAACCGCGTGTTGTGCAGCGCCAGCCTGCGGGGAGGGGACACAGGGGGGGGTCACAAAACAAGGAGGGGGCCGGACGCGCACCCCCCTGCACGCCCCCCAGACCTGTTATCGACGGAGATGTCGCCCGCTAAACCCGACTGCTTGTGGCTGAACTTGACGACGGGGCGGCGGGCGGTGGGCACGGCGTGGACGCGGCGCACGCCCGGCACGCAGCGGCGCAGCACGGCCGCCACCAGCTCCAGCAGCTCCGGGGGCGAGGCCGACGCCAAGTCGATGTCGCTCAGGATGGATTCTTCTGCCCCGGGGCTTCCCCGCGCCGAGCTCTGCAGGGATTTGGTGGGCTCCAAGTCGAGGAGCAGGTCCAGGTCGCAGCCGTGGGCGTCGAAGCCGTTGACGGAGGAGCCAAAAGGCAGCACGGAGCAGCCTGGCCGGGAGGAGACGATGCCTGCGGTCACCCCAGGGGCACGCCAGGCTCCCCGCACGCCCCACGGGACAAACGGGGACTCACTGGGGAAGAATTCGGAGAAAACCTCCTGGAAGAGCGCGACCAGGAGGTGCCGCAGGCGCCGCTCGCCCTCGCTCAGCTCCAGCAGCCCCACCAGCTGCTCCATCTGCGCGTCCACCTGTGGGGAGAAGCCTCATTGCCGGCCCCACGCACCCCAAAACACCCCACTGGCCCTCCCTGACCCCGAATCCCCCCCGGGGACCTCCCACGAGGGATCCCGAGCCTCCAGCTCACATCGTTGGCCTGGCACAAGGCCCGCTCCAGCTGCCCGGCGCCGAGGGGCTCCCGGTGGGCGCCGCGTCCCGGCGAAGGGCGGGCGAAATCTTTTTGCTCCCGGGGCCGGACGCGGAGGCTCCGCCCGGCCAAGGCGTGCTGGGGCTGCGCCAACGCCCGCTCGCGGCTCGCCGCCTCCCGCAGCTCCACGATGGCGTAGGCACCCTGAGGGGGGGGTTGAGGGGGGACAAATGTCAGCCCCCCGGGGTCCCCTCCCCATTCCCGGTGCCCCCTCCCCATTAAAGTTGTCCCCTCCCACTGCCCCCTCCCTGTTCCCAGTGCCCCTTCCCCATCCCTGTTCCCGGTGCCCTCTCCCAGTCCCTGGAGCTCCCAACCCGTTCCCGGTGCCCCATCCCCGTTCCTCTTCCCCATTCCCAGTGCCCCCTCCCCGTTCCCGGTGCCCCTTCCCCGTTCCCGGTGCCCCTTCCCCGTTCCCGGTGCCCTCTCCCAGTTCCCGGTGCCCCTTCCCCGTTCCCGGTACCTTCTCCTTATCCATCACCACCGCCACCACCTCCCCGAAGGCCCCGAAGTAGGCTGCGAGCTCCTCGGCCGCCGTGCCCCGGGCGAAGCCGCTGACGAAGAGGCTCCGCTGCTCCTGCGCCCGCCGCTCGGCCCGGAGGCTCTGCAGCCGCTGGTGCTTCTTCCCCCGGAGGTGCTCGGCCAGGCTGGGCCCTGAGGCGGCGCCGTTAGCCCGGAACGGCCCCGGTGCGGCCTCTTCCCCCCCCGGTGCCCCCCTCACTCACGGTTGGCCGCCGCCACCTGGCACAAGCGGCAGCGGAAGCCGCCCCGAGGCAGCGGCTCCACGTCCGGATCTGCTTCCGGGGGCAGCTCCGGGGCAGGGCTGGGCCCCGCCGCCGTTACCGGCTCCGGGCCGGGGCCGCCGTCCCCATCCATGGCGGAGAAACCGCTCGGCGGCTACTTCCGGGCGGTCCTGAGGGAACTTCCGGTCCGCACCGCCGGGTTCCCCCCACACACCCTCCTCCCCTTCCAGCGGTCCGCCCGCTTTCAGCTTCCCCCACACTCGGAAACCAGCTCCCTTAGCACAAAGGTTCCGCCCGAAGGTTCTGCCCCGAAGGTTCCCCGACGCCCCCCCCCCCTCCCGGTACCGTTTTCTGGGTGGGGGTGGGGAAAGGGGGTGGGGGGCGGTACCGGGGGGGCGGGGGGGGACAAAGAGGGGGGTGGCAGGTTGAAGAAAAGCCGTCGGTTTATTTCCTGTCGCTACAGAACCGGGACAGCCCGAGATACAAAACCGGGGGGCGTCGCTCCACGTACAAAAGGGTCCCACGGGGTGGGGGGGGGTGGGGGGGAAGGGGGTGGGGGGAGGGCAGCGTTTCCCCCCCACCCCCCACCCCCCACCCCTCAGCCCCCAAAACCCGCGCGGTTTCTATGGAAATAAAAAAAATACAAAAGGGATGCGGCGAGGGACAGGGGGAGGGGGTGTGGGGGAGGTGTGTGTGGGGGGGTCAGTCCTCGAGGACGATCGGCTCCGAGGTGCTGGCGGGGTGGGGGGGTGGGGGGGGCGCCAGGGCCCCCCCAGGCCGCAGGGGCAGCCCCGGCTTCACCTTGAGGGGCAGGTTGGGGCGGCGGGCAGCGCGGCGCAGCTCCAGGTGGGTCAGCGCCTTCCGCAGGGCCCTGGGGAGGGGGGAAAAAAATTGGGGTTAGAAAGGGTGGGTTTGGGGTTTTGGGGGCGAGGAGCCCCCCCCCCCGTGACCTCCCCCCCCAAAACCTTACCGGGTGTCCTTGGTGGCCACGAAGACGACGGGGTTGGGGGCGTCGGCGGGGTTCAGCTTCTGGCGCTTGCTGGCGGGGGGGGGCCCGGCCCGCAGCCCCCCCGCCAGGGGCCGCCCATTGGCCGAGAAGGGGACCCCCGAGGCCCCCACCTGTATGGGGAGGAGGGGGGGTGGAGCTCCCATCAGGCCCCGCCCACCCACCTCGGCCTCCACCAATCGCCAGCCGCCCTCCATCTCCCAGCCCCGCCCCCCTTCAATCAGTGACCTGTCAATCACCCCCGTGCAGCACACCCACCTGTCAATCACTCCCATCCCACACCCACTATTGGACACGCCCCTCCATAGGCCCCCCTCCAATAGGCCCCGCCCCTCCCACCTGTCAATCACCTCCACTGGCCCCTCCCCACGGCCACACCCCCTCTCATAGGCCCCTCCCACTCCCCCAAGCCCCACCCCTTTCCCATACCCCTACCCCCCTCCCTCACCTGTCAATCACCTCCCCTTGGCCCCGCCCCCTCCCCTTGGCCCCCACCCCTCTTACCCGGGGGGGGCGGTGGCCCTCGGCCGCCCCCTCGTAGCCCCGCTTGCCCCCCAGCCCCACCAGCCCCCGGCTCTGGCTCAGCTGGTTGCGGTTGATGGGGGTCTTGGTGCCCCTCGGGGTCTTCGGCTTCAGGGGGGCCTGGGCCGCTGGGGGAGGGGGCAAGGGGGGGGCTCAGGGGGTGCTGTCCCCCCCCAGATACAGGGGGAGGACACCCCCTAAAGCCCCCCTAAGCCCCCCCCAGCCCTCTGTGAGCACCCAAAGGCCCCATTGGGGGGGGAGCATAGGGGGGCCCCAAAAATCCTAAGGGGGGGAGGAGGCCCCAAAAATCCCATGGGGGGAGGAAAGAGGGACCCCTAACCCCCTAGGGACACAGAAGGGGCTCCCAAAAATGCCATGGGGTTGGAAAGGGGCCCCCAGAAACCCCATGGGGGACAGAAGGGGGCCCCCAAACCCCCCTCAGGACACAAAAGGGGGACCCCAAATCCCCCTCTGGGCATGGAAAGTGGTCCCCAGACCCCCTCCAAACCCCTTGGGACATAGAAAGGGGCCCCCAAACCCCTCCTGGGGCACAGAAGGGGTCCCCCAAGCCCCAAACCCCCCCCCAGCCTCTCACCCAGCTCCTTGACGATGGCAGCCAGGGGGAGCCGCGCCAGCGGGTGGATCTTGAGGGGCGCCTTGGCGGCTTTGGGGAGCCGGATGGAGCCTGGGGGAGGCACAGGGTGAGCGGCAACCCCCCCTTAGGGGGACTCCCTCCCCCCCCCCCCCCCACCCGCCCCAAAAAACCCTACACTCGGCCTTGATGGCGTTGGCGTTGATGGGGGCGTAGGGGCGGCGGGCGGCGCGCCGGGGCTGCAGGACGTCGCGGCAGAGGCGGCGGGCCAGGCGGGTGAGGCGGGTGGTCTGCAGGAGGAAGGTCTGGCGGTTTTTGGCCAGCAGCTTGGCCCGGCTGGCGCTGGTGGTGTAGGGCGAGAGGCTCTGGGCTTCGGGCCGGGAGAGGTGGCCACGGGAGTGAGGCTCCTGGAATAACGGGGGGGGGGGGAAAGGGGGGTTAAATAGGGCGGGGGGCTGCGGGGATCCCCTCTCGGGCGGTCCCGGGGCTCACCGAGGCGCTGCGCGCTGCCCCCTCCAGCTGGGTGGGGGTCTTGAGCCCCCCGTATTTCTTCCAGTAGATCCAGCAGGAGGCGCAGAGGCGGCACTGCATGTTGGGGGGGCCCCAGGCGTACCACTGGGCCGACTGGGTGGCTGGGGGGGGGGGGGGGCACAAAAAAAGTGTTAAAAAAAAAAAACCCACAGGCAATGGGACCCCCGCTTTGGGCACCGCAGCCAGCCCCAAACCACCCCCAGCCCCACAAAACCCTGCCCTGCAGCCCCCCCACCCCTCAGCCATGCTCTGATCCCCCCCCCGGACCCTTTTAACCCCCCCCAAAATCCTTTCCCCCCTCCCCCCCCCAAAACTGACTGTGGCAGCTCTCGCAGGTCAGCCCCTTCTGGAAGCCGGCCCCGTTCATGCCGGGTTTGGAGCCCACCGAGATGATCTGGTTGGGGTTCGGCTTCGTGCTAGGGTGGGGGAGGTAAAAAAGGGGGGGTCAGGGGAGGCCGGGGGGGGTTTCTTGTCCTCATCACGCCTGCAGAAAGCCCCCCCCGCACTCACTAGGTGGGGATGTAGACTTGCTTCAGCTTGCTGTCCGCCTCCGCCGCCTTCAGCCTCTTCTGCGAGCCAATGGGGAGTTAAAAGGGGGGGGGGGGGAAACACGCAGGGACCCCCCTCCAGGAAAAAAAATAGAGCCTGGGGAGGCGGGGGGCGTCCTCACCTGCTGGATGTAGCGGTCGGTGGTCTTCCACATGTAGTAGAACTGCACGATGCTGGCCAAGGACTTCCAGGGCAGCTGCGGGGAGGGGAAGGGAAAGGGGGGGGTGAGGTTTTAGGCTTAAAATGGGGGGGGGAAAAATGATTCCCGGCCCGAAATCCCCCCCCGCGGCTCACGAAGTCCTGCCGGATGTCGTTGAAGTCCTTGCCGTACTTCTCCAGGGCCTCCTCGAAGAGCATGGCCTCGGAGGCCGACCACTCCTCCATCTCGTCGCGGCACAGCACCGGCCCCCCCTGCGGCACCAGCGTGGCCATGGCCTTGGCCAGGTCGTAGCCGTTGCGCTGCAGGGTGTCCATGGCGTGGAACTGCGGGGGGGGGCACAAAAAAAATCATCATGGAGAACCCCAACATTTAAAGGGGAGACCCCCCCGGGGAGAGCCTGGAGCTGAGGGGAGCGGGGAGGGGATGGGGGGCAGGGGGTGGTGCACCCCCACACAGATAAATGGTTGGGAATGTGTGTCCCCCCCCCACGGGATGGAGCTCCAAAATCCTTTTTGGGGGTAGAAGGGGGTCCTAAAAAAAAATGGGGGTAGAAGGGGGTCCCTAAAATCACATGGGGGTGGAAACGGGTCCCAAGAAAGCTATGGGGAGGCAGAAAGGGGGCCCAAAAATCCCATGGGGGGCAGAAGGGGACCCCAAACCCCCTCCAAACCCCACGGGGCACAGAAGGGGACCCCAAAACCCCCTCCCACAGCCCCCCCCCCTCACCAGCGTGATGTCCCGCGAGGCCGCGGCCGCGCTCATGTGCAGGCTGGGCTGCCGGATGGAGCTGCTGCAGTCCAGGGCGCGGGCAAAGGTCCCGACGGCCCTGAAAAGGGGTAAAAAAAAAAAAAAACAAAGGGGGGGTCAGAGGGACCCCAAATCTCCCCGGGACCCCCCCCATTTCCCAGCCCGGGGCCCCCCCTCACCGTGCCACCACCAGGAACTGGTCGATCTGCCGGTCCGTCAGGGGGTTGTCGGGGTCCCACACCTTCATCTCCATCTTCTGCTGGTTCCTGTTGTCCGACTCGCCTTCAGAACGGCAGGAAGATTTTTTTTGGGGGGGGGGCAGGCAGAGAAGCCCCCCACCCTGTCACGGAGCCCCCCCCCAAACCTTCAGCCAGCCGGTCGGGGATCTCAGCCTGGTACTTGCAGCCCACGCGGATCTCGCCCTGGTCGGCCAGGAGGGTTTTTTGGACGGGGTCGAAGACCAACGAGTAGAAAAAACAGTCCTGGGGGGGGGGGGGGGCAAAAAAATAATAAAGGGCTCAGCCGGGTGCTGGGGGGGGGACACGGTTTTAATTACACCCTCCCCCCCCAAAAAAAAACAACGGGGGGGGGGGCTCACCTCCTTCTCCAGGTACTGCCCCAGGATGTCGGTCTCATTGAGCAGCGTCACGCTGCACTTCCCACTGCGGGGGGGGGGGGGAAATAAAGAAAGGGGGGGTTAAAAATGGGGGAGGCACAAGGAAAAGAAGGAAAAGGCCCCCCCGGAGGCCCCGCACCGTATGTGGGTGGCCGGCAGCGACTCGAACTGGCGGGAGAGGAAAAGCTCGCGGTGCTTCAGCTGGTGCCGCTGCTGCTCCGTCATGGGGGGCTGCTTCGACTCCTCCTCGAATTCTCCTGGTAAGGGGGGGGAAAAAAAGGATGTGGGGGGGTCGTTGCCCACCCCCACAACGCTCAAACCCCCCCTCCGGGGGTGTGTTGTTGTCCCCATGCACCCCTCCCTCGGATTTTGGCAGCTTTGAGAGCCCGGAGAGGGGATAAAAAAAAAAAAGGGGGGAGGGCACAACCCAGCTTGATTCACACATAAAATACCCCGGGGGGGGGGGGAAAGACCCCCCAGAAGCCCCTCCTCCAACTTGAAGGAGGGTTGGGGACCCCCCGCTTGCCCCCCCCTTTTATTTCTGCACCCCCACACACACATTTCATCCAAAGATCCCAAGGAGTTTCCACCACCGAACCCGCAGTGTGTCCCCCCACAAAAAATAAATTCCCAAGCTCCCCCCCCAAGTGGAAAACAGCCTGAAAATGGCGGTGGGGGGGCACCTGGGATCAAATTGGGGGGGGCATAACCCCTCCACACCCCCATCAGGGAGCCGAGAGCCCCTTGGGGTGGGGGGTGCAGCGAGCCCGGATCTGCCCCCACCGCCCCCCCCAGCCCTCGAGGGGGGGGTGAAAATTAAAAAATGGGAGGGGGAAAGGAGGGGGGGGCAGAAGCAGAGGCCCCCCCCCCCCAAAAAAAAATAAACCACTCACGGGCGTTGCTGTCGGCCAAGCTGTTGAGGCTGCTGGAGATGTCGCGGCGGCGGAAGAGGCAGACGACCTTGGCCTCCACATTGCCGTTGGCGGTCTGGGGGGGGCCAAAAATAAAAAAGGGGGGGTTGTGAGGATGCTGCAGGGATTTAGGGACCCCTCCCTGGGGGTTTTTTTTTGAAGGGGGGGGGGGCGCCGCTCACCTTGTTGAGCTCCTCGATGCGGCGCACGAGGTAGGGGTTGCTGGAGGAGTTCTCAAAGTAGACGTAGTCTGGGGGGGGGGGGAGGAAATTAAGCCCCCCCCCCCTTTGTTTTAAGCCCCCAAGGGGGGGGCCCAGCTGTGCCCCCCCCCCCCCCCCCCCCCAGGACCCCCCCAAAAAATCCCCCCCCAAAAAAGGCCCTCTCGGCCTTGCCCCTCCCCATCCCCTTTTTGCCCCCCACCTTACTCAGGGCCCCCCCTTACCCTTCTCACGCCCCCCCCATGTTTTGGGGACCCCCCCGACCCCCCCCTTTCCTGAGGACCCCCCCCTTTTTGCCCACCCCCTCCCCCTTTTTGGGGTCCCCCCCTCCGCCTTTCACCCCCCCTCCCCTTTCTGCCCCCCCCATTGCCCCCCCCTTTTCCCTTTTGGAGCCCCTCTCCCCCTTTTTGGGGTCCCCCCTTCCGTTTGTGCCCCCCCTCCTTCTTAGGCCCCCCCCTTCCTTTTTGGAATCCCCCCCTCCTTTGATGCCCCCCCTCCCCTTTTTACCCCCCCTTTCCCTTTTAAGGGACCCCCCCCCTCTCTTTTTTGGGGTCCCCCCTCCCCTTTTCACCCCCTTTTCCCCCCCTTCCCCTTTTTGGGGACCCCCCCCCCCTTCTTACCCCCCCCTCATTTTTAGGCCTCCCCCTCCATTTTAGGCCCCCCCCCTCCCCTTTTCACCCCCCCTCCCCCTCCCCCCACCCCCTCCGCTTCCCCCCACGGCCCCCCCCAGGCCCCCCCCGGATCCCCCCGGCCCCCAGGACCCCCCCCCGTCCCCCCCCCGTCTCACCGCCGACGCGGTACATGTTGGCCGCCATGGCCGCTCGGCTGGGCCGCGCTACCCCCGGGCCTCCATCGCCTCCCGCTCCCGCCGCCTCCGCACCGGCACCTTCGGCTCCTTCCGGAGCGCCCTCGGCTCTTTCCGGAACCCCCTCGACTCTTTCCGGAGCCCCCTCGGCTCTTTCCGGAGCCCTTCGGCTCTTTCCCGAACCGCTTCGCTGCAGCCTCGGGAGCTTTCGGAAAGGCTCGGCTCTTATCGGAACGGCCTCGGAGCTTTCCGGAGACGCTCGGCTCTTTTCCGAACGTCTCCGCTGCCGCGTTCGGGAGCTTTCGGAGCGGGCTCGGAAATCTTCGGAGGGAGCTCGGGAAGCAGTTCGGGAATCTCCGGAGCACCTTCGGCTTCTTCCGGAAGGGCCTCGGTAAGTTCCGCCGGAGCCCCGAGCGCTTCAGGAGCGCGGTTCGGGTATCTCCGGAACACCTTCGGGATCCGATCCCCACCCCCCCCCCCCCCACGAGCGCTTCCGGCACGGAGCCGTTCGCTCTCCCGCCGCTTCCGGGAAACGGGCGGCCGCTTCCGGCTCCGGACCGGAAGCGGGGCCCGGTAACGGCGGCAGGAAGCAGGCGGGGAGCCGGGCGCCCGCTCCAAGGCTTTATTTAAAGGGGAGGGGGGGTAAAAAATTGAGGGGGGGGGGGGGCCGGGGCCCCCCTGGTCCCGTAACGGGGGTAACGGGGGGGCCTCAACGGGGCTCCGCGGCCCCCCCGGCGGGCACCGGCGGCCCCCCCAGCACCCGCCACTGGAAGACGCCGGTGTCCTTGCCCCCCAGCGACACCAGGTGCCCGTCGTCGTGGGTGAAGCGCACGTTGGTGACGTGGCTGCCGTGGCCCCCGTAGACGTGGCTGGGAGCCTGTGGGGGGGGCGTGTGGGAGCGTGCGCGTGGGAGCGTGAACACACGGCTGGGAGCGTGTGGGAGCGTGCACAAAGCTAAAGGAGCGTGCACACGTGGGGGGGAGCATGTGCACGTGTGTGAGTGTGCACGCGTGTGCAGGAGCAGGCACACACGTGGAGCGTTCACACACAGGAGTGTGCACACGTGCAGGAGCACACGCATGCATGTAGGAGCGTGAACACACGTGTAAGAGCGTGTAGCTGCACGTGGGAGTGTGCACGCACGTGTGAGCATGAGCATGCACACATAGGAGCATGTACACGTGTAGCAGCACGCACACGGGTGTATAAGCGTGAGTGCACGCCCATGGCAGCGTGCACACCCACCTGAGCGTGCCCACGTGCAGCCCGGCACATGTGTGCATGCGGCATGCACCCAGCCCCCCCCGATGCACACCCATGTGTCCCTGTGCGCCCCCCCCATGTCCCCATGCACCCCCACGTGTCCCGTGCACACGCATGTGCCCCGTGCACCCCCTCCCCTTGCACACGCGTGTGCCCCCCACCTCCCCATGCACCCCCCAGCCCCCTCCCTCCCCCCATTCCCCCTCCCCATGCACCCCCCTTGCCCTCCCAGCCCCCTCCCCATGTAAGGAGCCCCCCCCCTCCCGGCCCCCCCAGCCCACCTTGGGGCGGGCGCAGGGGTACTGGAAGAGGTGCACCTTGCAGAAATCGTCGGCCACGGCCACCAGGCGCTCGTGGTGGGAGCGGCACAGGGAGTTGATGTCGGTGCCGTCCGAGCCGTCGGGCCACACGCCTGGTTTTTTTTTTTTTTGGGGGGGGGGGGCACACAGCGAGGTCAGCCCCCCCTCCCCCCAAAAAAAAAAGTAAAAATAGCCCCGGAGCCTCCCCCAAATCACCAGAGCCCTCGCGTGTACGTGCAACTCCCCTGCCCGCAGGCAAATGTCTGGAGCCCCCCCAAAAAAATCCCTTAAAGCCCCCCCAAATCTCAGGACCCCCTCCCAAATCCCCTGAGCCCCCCTAAATCCCCACCCCACCCCCAAAATCCTTTGCCCCCCCCAAACCCCAGGACCCCCCCAAAACCCCCCACCTCCCCCCAATCCCTTGACTCCCCCCAATCCCCTGCCCCCCTCCAAACCCCTTGACCCCCCCCAAAAAAACCCAAAACCCCCTGCCCCCCCCACCGAAGACGTGGAAGCCCAGCACGCAGGTGTAGGAGGCCCACTCGCGGTCCCGGCTCTCGAAGCGGTTCCGGAGCAGTTTGCAGCCCCCGGCCACGTCCCCTGGGGGGGGGGGACAAAGTTGAGCGACCCCCCCAGGTGCCCCCTACCCCCCTCAAATTTTTGGGGGGCCCCCCACCCCCCGTTGCCTGCTCACAGTAGAGGATCTCGTAGTCCCCCGAGTTGGACATGACGAAGTGGCCGTCCTTGGACCAGTCCAGGTGGGTGATGAAGCTCGAGTGCCCCTGGGGGGAGGCAGGAGGGGGCATTGGGGACTTTGGGGAGGGGGGTAGGATCTTCCTTTCCCCCCCCCATTAAAAAAAGCGCCCCCCCTCACCGTGCAGCGCCCGAAGCGGGTGTACTTGCGGCCGCCCTCGGCCACGCTGTAGATGTAGATGACGTTGTCGTGGGAGCCGATGGCCAGGAAGGAGCCGTCTGCGGGACCCCAAAAGGTTTTTTTTTAGGGCTGGGGGGGTCTTAGGGGTGGGGGGGGACACAGGAGACCCCCCCCCGAAAGGATAAAGGGGGCTCACCGGGGAGAAGCGCACCACCGAGAGCTGCTCGTTGCCGTCCGAGCCCCCCGCCAGTGGCTGCTGCGTCTCCGTGTCCAGCACCAGCCACCTGGGGGGGGGGAGGGACACACAACACGGGGGGGGGTGTCAGGGGTCGGGGGGGGGGCTCCTTGTTCCCCCCCCACACCCCCAAAATCCCCATTGGTCGCTCACCGCCCCGTCAGCAGCCCCACGACCACCACTTGGCCCCCGGGGTGGAAGTCGGCGCAGAGCCCCGTGTCCTGGGGGGGGGGGGGGAGACACAGAGGACATCAGGGCCTTCTCTGTGCCCCCCCCAGCCTTTATTTAACCCCCCCCCAAAAAAAATTCACCTCCAGGGCCAGGCTCCAGGCCAGGGCGTGCTCCTGCCCGTCCCACAGGCAGAGCTGCCGGTCGTGGCCGCAGGTGAGGAAGAGGCAGCGCGAGGGGTGGGTGGCGAGACCCCAAACCTCGTCCGTGTGCCCCTGGGGGGGGGGAAAAAAAGGCAGGGGGGTCACCCTGAGCCCCCCACCATGAGGGGAGACCCCCCAAAAAACCCCCCGAGCACCCACCTGCACGATGGGGGTGAAGCCGTCGGCCAGCGTGCCCCGCAGCAGCGCGTTGCGCGTGGTGCCCACCAGCAGCTCCTCGCCCGGCCCCTCCGCGATGGTGCGCACGGCGCCGAAACGCTCGGGGAGCTGGGGGGGGCCGGGGGGGTCGTGGGGGGGTTGGGGGATAAAGAGGGGAGCAGGGGGAATGGGGGGAGATGGGGGGGACAAGGGGGAGCTGAGGGGACACCCCCAGCCCCCCTTCCCAATCCCTAACCACTCTGGGGTCTGTGGGGCGCATTATGGGGTCCCAGGGCAGATTTCAATGTCCCGGGGCAGATTTAGGGGCTCCCAGGGTGGGTTTCGGGGCTCCCGGGACAGATTTCGAGGTCCAGGGCTGGATTTTTGGGGCTCCCGGGGTAGATTTCGGGGGTCCCGCGTGCCCACCTCGGCCTCCTGCAGCAGGAGGAGCTCGGGGCTCCAGCTCAGCACCCTGCGGTCCTTGCCGCCGCCGCTCAGCACCGTCCCGTCCCGCCGGCGGCACAGCGCGAAGACGCTGCCCTCGTGCGCCCGCCTCTGCTGCCCGATCTGGTATGTCTCTGCTAAGGTGTGGGGGGGTTCAGCCTCACGGCAACCCCCCAGCTCCCCAAAACCCCCCCAGTGTCCCCCCCAGCCCCCAAACCTTTGCCCCCTTTCCCCGCCGGCCCCGCGGCGCGGGTCCAGGTGAGGATGTTGCCCTCGGAGTCGCCGGTCAGCACGTCCCCGGCGGCGTCAAAAACGAAGCACTGGATGAATTTGGGCTTCTTATATTTCTGTGAGGGGGGAAAAAACAACAGCAGGCGGTGCCGGGGGGTGCCGGCCGGCCCCCCCTCCCCCCCCCCAGCCCCTTTGGGTGCCCCCCTCACCCCAAAAATGCCCTGCTTCTTGGTGAGCGCGGCCCCGCTCCAGGTCCAGAAGTAGACGTGGGACTTGCCGCTGGTGATGATGCTGCCGCTGTCCTGGGGGTTGAACTCCACCGACAGCACCGACTCGTTGGTGCTCTGTGGGGTGGGTTTTTTTTAGGGGGGGGGGGGGTGAGGGCACCCCTCTGAGTCCTTGACACCCCCCCGGGACCCCCTCCTCACCTTCACTTCTGCCAGCTTGGTGCCGCGGGCGCAGTCCCACACCGACATCATGTGCTCGTTGGAGTCGTCCACCACGCACAGGTGGGCGCCCTGGTCCTGGGGGGGGGGACATGGGGGGACCCCCGGGGGGGTGGAAGGACGGGGGACAAGGGGACGGAGGGATGGGGATGGGGGGATGGAAATGGGGGGACTGGGGGACAAGGGGATGGGGTGGGGACCGAGGGACAAGGACAGGGGGACAGAAGGACAGGGGGACAAAGGGACAAAGGGGGGGGGGGTCTGGGGGGGGGCACTCACGGCCGTGGAGAAGGCGAGGGAGCCCACGCCGCGCTCGAAGCTGCCGAGGCCGATCTGCTGCAGGGTCAGCAGCGTGGCCGAGTCCCAGATGTGCACCACGGGCTGCAGCGGCTGCGGGATTAAAAAATGGGGGGGGAGAGAAGGAAACGGGGGCTGGGCACGGGATTTGGGGGCTGGGGGGGGGCACGCAGACAGCCCCCAACCCCGTTACCTTGCCGTCCTTGTCCACGCCGGCCGCCTGCCCCGTGGCGACGCGGAGACGGTCGGGGTGCACGGCCAGGCTGGGGGGGGGAGGGGGGAACGGGGCAGTGAGAGGGGGGGATAACGGGGCTGGGGGGGCCCCCCCCCCCCCCAAATAACCCCCCCCAGGCCGGGCTTCACCAGCGCACGCAGTCGCTGTGGCGCAGGTAGTGGCGCTGGCGGCGGAGGGGGACGTGGAGGAGGACGACGACGCAGGCGATGAAGTAAACCAGCTCGCCCGACGCCAGCACGTGCAGGTTGGAGCGGCTGTCCCGGCCCCGGTACCCGTAGCTGGGGGGGGCGAGTTAAGGGGAGAAACGGGGGACCCCCAGAAGGGGTTGGGGACAGAGACAGGACAGGGACCCCCCAAAAGGGGATGGGGACCCCCAGGAAGGGACAGGGACGAGCAGAAGGGGTTGGGGACAGGGACGGGGGGGGGGATAGGGACCCCCAGAAAGGGCTGGGGACAGGGTGGGGGATCCCCAAATGCAGATGGGGACCCCCAGCCAGGGCTGGGGACCCTCAGAAGGGGTTGGGGGGGACAGGGACCCCCCCCAGGAAGGAATGGGGACAAGGTGGGGGTCCCCAGGCAGGGGCAGGGGCAGGGACCTCCAGCCAGGCACAGGGACCCCCGGGCAGGGTCAGGGACCCCCAGGCGGGGTCGGGGACCCCCCCAGGGGGGTGTCCCCCCCCAAATAGGATACACCCAGTCGAGCTGCAGGCGCTCGGGGGGCAGCTCGGCCCGTAGCCCCCCGTAGGGGCCCAGCCCCGAGGGCACGTACATGGTGATGGGGCGGCCCCGCAGGAACATCTTCACCGACACCCCCTCTGTGGGGCAGGACGGAGGGGGTCAGCCCCCCCACGACCCCCCCCAGAACCCCCCCAGGCCCCCCAGCCCTGCCCCGTTAGCGGCAGGGGTCGGGGACGCACGGAGGGGGACCCGGGAAGAAGCCCCCCCCCGGCCTCACCCAGGTTGTAGTTGGCACGGCGTGACCCTGGGGGGGGGGGGGGGGAAAGAGTGTTATAAAATAATAAAAAAAAACAACCCCCCCCAAAAATTTTGTGTTTGCCCCCCCCCGACCCCCCCCCTCAAGCACCCACCTGGGCTCATGACGGGCTCCTTGGGGCGGCTGCGAGGGAGAGGCGGCGTCAGCAGGGAGGGGGGGGGGAATTTGGGGGCGAGGGAGGGGGCACGGGGTGGAGGGGGGGGTGCAGGGGGGGGTTGGGGTGCGGGGGGGGGTCATGGATTTTTTTGGGGGGGTTGCACGGGTTTAGGGGTGCAGGGGGGGGGTTGGGGGTGCGGGGAGGGGTTGGGGGGGCAAGGAGGGATGCAAAGGGGCGGGGGGGTGAGGGGGTGGGGGGGGGGTTGGGGTGCGAGGGGGGCCCCCCACCTCTCGGGGCTCCCCACGGGCAGCAAGAGGTTGGCGGACGAGGCCGCTTTCCTACTCAGGCGGCGCCGGGGGCTGGAGCTGCCGGAGGAGCTGTGCCTGCGCAGGCTGGGGGGGGGGACACATTTTGGGGGGGGGGGAGGGGGGGGTCGTGGGGGGGGGGGGGACACGGAGGGACACGGGGATATGGGACAGAGAGGGGTGGGGGCAAGGGGAGGGGGTGGACACCATCAGCAAGGGGTCACCCCCCCCCCCCGATTGTCCCCCCCCCCAAAAAAAAAACACCCTACCCCTAAATTCCAGCCCCAACGCCCCCCCCCCCAGCACTTTCCCACCCCCCCAGCACCCCTGAGCCCCCCCACCCCCCCCCCTCAAGGCCCCCCCATCCTCACAGCTCTTTGCGGGCACCCTGGGGGGCTGCCGGGGGGGATTCGGGGGTCGGTGGCTCCGGGGAAGCCGGGGGGGGGGGCGCCGGGGGGCAAGGGGGGGACCCGGGTGGGGGCGGCTCTTGGGGCCCCCCTGGGTCCCCACTGCCCCCAGGCGCCGCTGGGGACCCCCCGTCCGTCTGTGTCCCCACGCTGATACCGGGGGGGCGGCAAAGGGGGGGGGCCGGGGGGGGTCCCGGTGGCGCTGGGGGGGGCCGGCGGCACGAAGGGCTCCGGGATGGCACCGTTGGCTGTGGGGTCATTGGGGGGGGGGCAAAAAGGGGTCAGAATTTGCCCCCCCCCCCCCCCCCAAATCCAGCTGTGGACCCCTGGGTGTCCAGAGGGTGCTGCGGGGGGGGGGGGGGGGAGGCAGGTAATAGGGGGGTGCCGGGAAATGGGGGGGGGGGGTCTCGGGTATCAGGGGGGTCCCAGGTACCAGGGAGGGGGTCTCAGGTACTGGGGGGGGGGGGTCCCAGGCGTTGGGGGGGTCCCAGGCGTTGGGGGGGGTCCCAGGTGTTGGGGGAGTCCCGGGGGGATTTTCTGGGGGGGTCCCAGGTACTGGGTTCCAGGTACTAGGGGGGGTCTCAAGTGTTGGGGGGGTCCCAGGAACCGGGGGAGGGGTCCCAGGTGTTGGGGGGGGGTCCCAGGTACTGGGGGGGGGGTCCCAGGTACCGGGGGGGATTCCAGGTGTTGGGGGGGGGTCCCGGGGGTTGGTTTTTTTTTTTTTGGGGGGGGGTCTCACCGTGGGGCAGGTGCCGCAGCAGGCGGGGCAGGTGCTGCTCATAGAGGCCGAGGCGCCGCAGCGCGTCCCCCAGCGCCGCCTTCACCAGCGCCAGCTCCTCCTCGAGCCGCCGCAGCCGGGGCTCCAGGGGGCTGGGGGGGCCGGGGGGGGCCAGGTCACCTGTGGGGGGGGGGCACAGGGGGTGAGACGGCACCCAAAATTTGGGGGGGGGGGGGGGCTGCCCTTTTACCCCCCTCACCCTCCCTCTCTTCCATGGTACCCTATGGGCCCAGCTGGGGCAGCACCCCCAGGGGTGCCCCCCCCCCAAATACCTGGGTGCCCCCCTAAATACGTTCCCCCCCCCAAGATGTGCCCCCCCCCAAGATGTGCCCCTCCCCTCATCACATGTGCCCCCCCCAGGTGTGCCCACCCCCAAACTCCCCCCCCTTCTGCCTGTGCCCCCCCCAAAATACCTGGGTGCCCCCCTAAATACGTGCCCCCCCCCCAAGATATGCATCCCCCCTTTTCAGATGTGCCCCCCCATCAGCTGTGCCCCCTCCCACATATGCCCCCCCCATGTGTGTGGCCGCCCCAGACCCCCCCCCCCCAATGCCTCCCATAGGCCCCAGGCCCCACCGAGCCCCTGCGGCTCATTAGCAGCAGCGCTAAGGAGAGCGGGCGGCTCATTTTCCACCGGGGGGGGCTCACACACGCCTTATAACGGTGCCCCCCCCCCCCCCCCAAAATCCCCCCCACCCCCCCCCTCACCGAGCTCGGGCTCAGGCTCCATGGCAGCCGCTAGGCCTCAGCCTCCGGCGCCTCAGGAAGCGCGGCGGCGGCGCCGAGTCATTTCCCCTCCGCCCGATCCTGCCCCCCCCCCCAAAAAAAAAAAAACAAAACACAAAAAAACACCAAAAAAACCCTCGGGGGGGGGGGCCACGAGCACCCCCCCGTGCGCCCCCCCCAGCCCCAAAACCCCCCCGTCTCCCCCGCAGCTGGTGGAAGACCCCCGTGTGCCTCCTGCCCCCCCCCCCCATCATTTTGGGGTGTTTTTTTTTTAATGGGGGGGGATTTTTTTCATTTTAATGGTGTCAGCACCGGGTGCCCCCCCACTCTGTTAAGTTTCGGGATGATTTGTGTTTTTTTTTTTTGGGGGGGCCGCATCCCGGCACCCTGAACCCACACCAAAAGGGGCAGCGGCCCCCCCGATTCATCCCGAAAACGAAACGCCGCCCCCCCCCCCCCCCTATAACCCCCCCCCCTCGGTTTTAGGGACCCCCACCACACCCCTCAGTGCCCCCCCCCAAAAAAAACAACAGGGGCTGCCCCCCCCAGGCCCCCCCAGCTTTGGGATCTGGGCCTGTGGTTGCCCCCGTCTGGGGTTGGGGGCTGCACCCCAGGGTGTTTTTTTTTTTTCCGGGGGGGGGGCCCAGGCCCCATTTTTATCCCCCCCCCTGGGGGGGGGGGGGGGGGGGCCGCATCCTGCACACTCATAGCGGGAGCGGGGCCGGGGCTGAGCCTCCGGGAAGGGAGAGGGGGGGACGGGGCGGGGGGGGGCCCGTATTGGGGGGGGGGGACACAATATTTGGGGAGGGGGACAGGACACGGGGGGGGGGGGGGCACAGGGCAAGGGGGGACCCAAGGGTGCCCTTTGGGGAAAGGTGGGGGGGTGCGGGGTGGTGGTGGGGGGTTGGGGGCATGGGGGGCGGTCTGGGGGGGGTTTAGGGTGGCACGGGGGGGGGTTTGGGGTGGGGGTGGGGTTTGGGGTCGTGGGGGGGGGGATTTGGGATGGAGGGAGGGGATTTGGGGTGGCGGGGGGGGGCTGGGGGCGTCCGGGGGGGGATTTGGGGGTCGTGGGGGGGGGTTGGGGTGCCGTGGGGGGGATTTGGGATGCTGGTGGGGGATTTGGAGGCGTGGGGGGGGGTTAGGGTGGAGTGGGGGGGATTTGGAGTGGTGCGGGGGGGTTTGGGGTCGTGGAGGGGGGGATTTGGGGTGGAATGGGGGGGGTTAGGGTGGCACGGGGGGGGGGGTTAGGGGTGTGTGTGGGGTTTTGGGGGTTCTTGGCCCCTCGCCCCGCCCCGGGGGGGGGTCCGCCCCCCCCCCGCCCCCCCCCCAGCACCCCGGATGCCGGGGGCCGAGATTCGCTTCCCGCCCGCGGCGGGGCCGGAAACCCCCCACCCCCCCCAAAACCGCCCCCCCCACACCCCAAAAAAAAAATCCCAAATCCCCCCCCCCTTCCCCGGCACCCCGCACGCACCCCATGGAGCCGGGCCCCTACTGGGAGCCCCCACCCGAGCCCCCCCCCCCAATTCCAGGCCCCTGGCCCCCCCCCCCGGTCGCATACACCCAAACTTTTGGGGGGGGGCTCCTGGGGGAGGCCTGGGGGGCCGCGACCCCCGAGGGGGGGGGGAGGGGGGAGGGGGCCCCCCCACCTCCCTACCTGCCCTTCGGGGGGGGGCCCCCCCTCGAGGAGCCCCCCCCCGCCTGCCTCTACCAGGACCTGCAGCCCCCCCCCTGCGCCCCCCCCGGAGCCTTCCAGGGCCCAGGTGAGTGCAGGGGGGGCTTTTTATTGGGGGGGGCTTTGTTATTGGGGGGGGGCTTTTTTTAAATTGTGGGGGGTCTTTTTTTATTGTGGGGGGTCTTTTATTGGGGAGGGCTTTTTTTTATTGGGGGGATCTTTTTTTGGGGGGGGGTCTTTTTTCTGAGGGGGGGCTCACCCTATTCTTGCAGCCCTGCAGGGCCTGGGGGGGGGCGACGGCTTCGTGGGACCCCCGTGGGCTCCTGATGGGGCGCGGTGCCCCCAGGTGAGGCCGGGTCCTTTTTTTTTTAGGGGGGGGGGCACCCACAGGACCCCCCCCCAAAAAAAAATCTCACCCATGCCCCCCCCCCCCCCCCCCACAGGACCCTGAGCGTTACCCCCCCTTCGCCGCCTTCCCCCCGTGGCCAGCGTTGGGGGGCTGCGAGCTGGGCCCCCCCTGGGTGGGGGGGGCGGCCCCCCCCGAGGTGAGAGCAGCAAGGGGGGGGGGGGAAAGGGGGGGAGGGGGCACAATGGGGGGGGAGAAATTGGGGGTGGGGGTGCACAGGTCACCCTCATGACCCCTCTCTCTCACCCCCCCCAGGTCCCCCCAGCGCCCCCCCCCTCACAGAGCCGCCCCTCCCCCCCTTACCGGAGCCGCCTCAGTCTCGGGGGGGGGCCCCCCCGCTACCGGCCCCCCCCCATGCTGGATCCGGGGCGCTCGGGGCCGGGGCTTTTCGGGGGGCTGAGCTCCACGGGGGGGGCGCGCAGCCCCCCCGGCTCCCCGGACCCCCTGCGCCTCAAAGCTCCGTGAGTGGGGAAAATGAAGGGGGGGGATTATTTTTTTTTTTTTTTTGGGGGGGGAGTGGGGGCATCTTGATTTTTTTTTTGTGCCCCCCCCCCAGGCAAATCAACGTGGGCTCCGGCTTCCAGGCGGCCGTACCGGAGCTGGGGGGCTGCGCCCGGAGCCCCCCCACCCCGGGGGGGGCAACGCTGGCCTGGAGCCCCTGGCCCGGGTTGGAGGGGGACCCCACGACCCAGCGGCAAGGTGAGGCACCCCCCGCACCCTAAAATTTGTGGGGGGGGCTTCCGAGGGGGGGGCAGCACCCTAATTGTGCCCCCCCCCAGTGGAGATGCTCCTGGCCCTATCCTGCTCCAGCGCCGTGCCGGGGGGGGGCACCAACACTGAGCTGGCCCTGCACTGCCTGGCCCGTGCCAGCGGCAGCCTGACGGTAAGGTGGGGAGGGGGGCGGGTCTGGGGTGGCCCCCCCCGCTCAAAAAAAAACCCCAACCTCACCCCAAATTTCTCTGCCCCCCCCCAAAATAAAAGGGAGCTCTGGAGCTGCTGCTGCTGGGGACGCCAGCCTGGCCCGAGGCGCACCCGCTGGCTGGGTACCACTACGCTGGTGAGGGGGGGGCTCCTTGTCTCGTGGGGGGGTCTTGGGGGGTATCCTGGGGCTTGTGCCCCCCCCCCAGCACCCACAAAGAGCCCCCCCCCGGCAGGCAGCGACTCCTGGAGCCCCCGTGAGCGGCGCCTCTTTGCCCAGGCGCTGGCACGGCATGGGAAGGATTTCGGGCGCATCCAGCGGGCGGTGAGGCCCCCCCCCCGAAAAATCCCCCCCCCACGCTATAACCCCCCCCCATGGTATAATCCCAACCCGATTTCCTGAGGGCACCCCAAAAATGCCTGCCCCCCCCCCCTCCCCAAGGTCCCCTCCAAGCGGACGACGCAGTGCGTGGAGTTCTACTACCTGCACAAGGCGCGGATGGGGAGGGGGCGCAGGCAGGTATGGGGGGGGTTTGGGGGCGCCCAGCAAATTGAGGGGGCTCTGGGGACCCCCCCGGAACACTCAAGGGTGCTGGGACCCCCCCGTAGCACCGGGGGGGGGGGTCGGGCCCCCCCCTCTCCTGTCTCTGTGTTTCCCCAGGTGGTGCCTGAGGGTCTCGGTGCACGGTTCCCCTGCAAGCTCTGTGGAAAGTACGGGGGGGGCAAAAGGGTTTTGGGGGGGGGAAATGGGGCTGGGGGGGGGGGGGGTGAATGAAATGGATTGGGGGGGGGCAAAAGGTATCTGGGGGGGGCAAAAGGGGCTGGGGGAGGCCCAGAAGGTGTCTGGTGGGGGCCAAAAGGGATTGGGGGGGGGCCCAGAAGGGGCTGGGGGGGGGCAGACCCCCCCGCTCTCCCTCAGCGCCCCCGTTTCCCCCAGGATCTTCCCCAAAATCAAGAGCCGCAACGCCCACATGAAGATCCACCGGCAGCAGGACGACTGGGGGGGGGCCTCCCCCCTCATCCTGCCCCCACCCTGGGCTCCTGCCCTGGGGGGGGCCCTCACCGCTGTGCCCCCCCCCGCGGCCGCGAGCCCCCCGCCATGGGGTGGGGGTCCCGGGTGGGCCGGGCCCCCCCCAGACACAGCCAAGGCTGGAGGAGGAGGATTTATTGCAGAGGAGGGGGGGGGTGCTGGGGGGGCCCCCTGTGAAGGGGGGGTGAGGGGGGGGCGCAATTTGAAGCTCCCCCCCCATAAATAAAAGCCGGGTGGCCCCGCATCCAACGCCCCCCCCCCTCCTTGGTTGTAGGATCCTGCGTGTCCTTGGGGGGTCCCCAGGCAAAGGGGGGGGGGCCCAATTTGAGGGGGGGGCCCCCTCACACCTCGATGCGGGGGTCGGAGCCGCGGCCCTGGCGCTGCAGCTGCTCCTCCTGCCGCAGTTTGGGCTTCTCGGTGCGCGTGTGCCACACCAGCACCTGGGGGGGGGCACAAAAAAAAAGACCCCCCCCTCGTCAGCCAAAGTGTGGGGGGGGGAGGCTCGGGAACCCCCACCCCACAGCCCTAGGGGACCCCCAGGCTTCACAGGACCACCACAAGAGGTTCAGGACCCCCCCCCAAAGGGGCTCAGGCCCCCCCCGGACCCCCCTAGGCTCCCCAGGACCCCCCCAGGACCCCCAGAATCCCCCAGTACGGCACTCCTGGGACCTCCAAGACCCCCCAGGACCCCCCAAAGGAGCTCAGGACCCCCCCAGGACCCCCCCCAAGGGGCTCAGGACCCTCTCAGGACCCTCCTACACTCCCCAGACCCCCCCAAAGGGCTCCAGACCCCCCAAACGGAGCTCAGGGCCCCCCAGATGAGCTCAGGACCCCCCAAAGACCCCCCCAAAGGACCTCAGCCCCCCCCCAAAGGACCCCAGCCCCCCCCACCTGTGTGCAGTTGTCGGCCTTGGGCTCCAGCTGTGCGGGGGTGACGAGCCCCCCAGGAGGCTGCTCTCCAGGTACCCGCGCTCGGCGGCGGGGTCGAAGCGGGCGGCGGGGCGGGCGCGGAGCAGGGGGAGGGCGACGGCGAAGCCGGCCATGTCCAGGGGGAAGGGGCGCTCGGGCTTCCAGGCCGTGTGGAAGCCCACCACCCGCCCCCCCGCCACCAGCGGCCGCTCGAAACGCAGCCCCCCCACCAGCCCCACCGGCCACACGGACACCCCCCGGGTGCTGCGCATCTGGGGGGGGGGAGAGGGGTTGGAAAGGGGTCAGAGGTTGGGGTAAAAGGGCCTTGGGGGGGGTTGGGGGGGTTAAGGGGAATTGGGGGGGGTCAGAGGGGGTTAAGGGGGGGTAAAAGAGGCTTTGGGGGGGTTAAGGGGGGAAATAAGGGGCTGGGGGGGGCTAGAGGGGGGTTAAGGGGGGAAAGGGGGGGTAAAAGGGGCTTTGGGGGGGGTTGGGGGTGTTAAGGGGGGAAATAAGGGGCTGGGGGGACAAATAAGGGGCTTGGGGGGGTTCTGAGGAGTTCTGGGGGGTCTGAGGATTTTGGGGGGGGGCTGAGGATTTCGTGGGGGGTGGGGGAGTTCCAGGAGGGGCTGAGGAGTCCCGGGGCAGTCTGAGGATTTTGGGGGGTCTGGGGGGGTCTGGGAAGGGGCTGAGGATTTCGGGGGGGGGCTGAGGGTGCTGGGCGGGGCCTGGGGGGGGCCGGGGGGGGTCTGAGGATTTCAGGGGGGGTCCGGGGGGGGCCGTACCTCCTCGAAGAGCCGCAGGCTGTAGGTGTTGTCGTCGTCGGCGAAGTAAACCACGGCCGCCTCGCCGGGGGGCGCGTGTCCCGCAGCCACTGCAGGGCCCGGTTGCGCTGCTCCACGCCGCGGGGGCGCAGCCAGGGGGGGTCCCCGGGGCGGCGTCGGATTTCGGGGGGGGTGGGGGCGTGCAGGTGGGTGAAGGGCACCCCGCTGGCCGCCAGCAGCCCCCCCACCAGGGCGGTGGGGGCGGGGGCGTCCTCCACCACCACCCAGTGCAGCGCCCGCACGTGCAGCAGGGTCTGGGACAGGCGAACCAGCTCGGCCTTCTGCACCGGCCTGGGGGGGGCGGGGGGGGGGAAAAGTGTTAGGGGGGGGGAGGGAGGGGAGGGAGGGGGGGGGGGTAAAGTGGGGGGGAGTGTGGAGAAGAAATGGGGGGGGGGGAAAGAGAGGGGAAAAAGATGGGGGGAAGGGGATAAAATGTCCTGGGGGGGGCGGATAGCAAAGGGGGTGGGATAAAATTTGTCGGGGGGAGAAAATATAATCGGAGGGGGGGGTAATAAAATGAGGGGGAGGGAATAGGGATCGTGGGGGGGGAATAAATGGAAAAGGGGGGGGGGAAAGAGCATGGGCAGGGAATAAAATGTCTGGGGGGGGGATAAAGTATCTGGGGGGGATAAAATGTAATGGGGGGGGTTAATAGCCCTGGGGGGGGGCAAATCAACGCCCCCTGCTCTTACCTGGCGTAGGTGGGGGTCACCACGTAGATGGTCGGCAGCGGGGCCCCCCCCGTCTCGGGGCCCCCCCCGTTTTGGGCCCCCCCCCCCCAGCCCCGTGCCGCAGCTGGGCCTGGAGCTGGGCCAGGCGCCGCTCAGCGCCCCGCAGCAGCCGGGAGCAGTCACAGGGCTGCCCTGGGGGGGGGGCAAAAATTAATGAGGGGGGGTTAATTAATGAAGGGAGGGGTTAATTAACAAAGGGGGGG